AAACCTCTGAAATGAGCTCTGAGTCACAGTGGAGGTTTTTCACTCTTACCTGTGCTTCTTGCAATATGAGGGCTGTGTCGTGCACTGAAAATGGCTGGTCCACAAGAGGAAAAGAGAAAAAGAAAACTACAGCTGTTCAGAATATGAATACTTGAAAACCTCATTTCAGCCATCAGTTTCAAAGGACAGGCACTCCATGCCAGGAATGGGAAGCGATGACCTTGGAGCTAATTGCAACTTAAGACACAAAAATCTATCACCCGAACTTCGTAACACAATAAACACATTTCACATACACTAGGCCATGAAAAAACATAAGCAAACAGCAAATTGAACAAAAACTTGTATCAAAAAGAGGCTGGAAATCCCCTGACCCCATTTTCCCATGGAAACCGCTGGTCCAAATGTGTTACTGGAAAACACCACCAGCAGAATTTTTTTCTGTTGTGGTTTAAGAGCAGTAAAATACATCATGGACTTAACTTTACATGAGGGTTTAACTAAAATCCTACTGAACAGCAGCAGGGACTTAAATGGGATTTACTCTGTGCTTTTAGGTGTGCTGAGGAGGAAGTTTGCTGTTCCCTGAGCTCCCAGGGAAGGGGATAGGCTATAGAGCCAACAGCTGTGTTGGGGGCAACTGGCTTGAGAATTCAATCCATTGCATTGGGCAGGGCATTTTGAAAATGGCTGGAGGGGTTTGGAAACACAAGTCTGGGATGTCAGCTCCTCAGGAGATTTATTTTTAGATGTTGATTTGCTGCCCTAACTCCTGGAGTTTATCCAGGGAGCCAGCTCCATAAGTTTTTCCCAAACTCCAAAATGTCTCTGTTTACACAGCACAGACAAATAAATAGCACTGTCACAGTGACACGCAATTGTCTGCTTCTAATACATCAAACTTGACACATAACAAAAGGTTATTGTGACAATTTCAGCTATAATCTTGCTCAGCTTTATTGCTTTAAATCTTTGACCCTTGAAATATTAAATCTTGGGGTTCTTTTTAAACTTCTTTATTTCTTGAGCCAGCAACTCCTTATCCTTTTTAGGCAGCATGTGAAAGAAGGGGGGTAGATAGGTAATTAAAGACTGTGTAACAAATATCTTCAAGGGACTGGCATGCTGGGAGAATTATCTGCATCATCTTGGGCATGTCCCAAATGCCTCTAATCATCACAAGGACATACTTTAGTCTGTTTATGGTGGCCATGAAACCATCACGACCCCCCCAAAACAAACAGCACTGCTTCAAGAAAACACTCCATTATTGCTCAGAAAACACTCCATTATTGCTCTGAGCAGAAGTGTAAAGGCAAAGGAAAGTGCTGAGATATGAAGAGGCTTATTTGTTTTTGTGGTACAGAAAATGAAGGAAGGAAACTCTAGATGAGGAGCTGCATAAAAAAAGAGAAAAAGACCAGCTGGGTGATCCAAAACCCCAAAATGCAACAAAAAATGGAATATATGATTTTGTTTTGGAAACAAAAAATGCAACACATGATTGAGGTGGTGTGCAAGGAGGTCAGCCAAGGAGAGCTGAGTTTGTGTCACAGAGGGAAAGTGGAACTGGCTTCCAGAAAAGAGAAGAATTCTAGGGGTAACATTCCAGGTCTCCCAAAAGCTAGAAAGAGACAAGGAAGGACAGGAGGCAGATGCCGAGGGGCTGATCTGAAGTGTGAGACCCAGGTAAGGTCCATTCTGCAAGCGGTAGACACACAAAGTGTGCAGATGGTGGATGAAATGGGCACCCGTGTGACGAGAGCAGGACCACTCAATGTGGAGCTTTGGTACCTGGGCAAAGAAGGACAAAGAGGATTAATTAAAAAATTAAATAATTAATTAAAAAGCACTTGTGACTTTGAAGGAAAATAGCTTACAGAGGAAATTGGGAAGTTGATGGAAGGAAGAAAACAGCTGAAATACTGAGATCAGAAAGCCTGAAATTCCATCTGCAGAAGATAACCATATTGGACTACGTCATTGAAAAGGGCAAAAATACAGAGCACAAAGAAAGGATGGATAGTGCAATGGAAGCAACTGGAAAAGAAAACAGATGAATAACAGTTTGGAAGATGTGTCACTGACCTCAGTACAAAGGCAACATGGCTAAAATGTGACATGCTCTCCAAATACAAGCCAGGCTACATGACCTCATGTTTAACATGAAACAATTACTGGAATGTAGAGGTAGGGAAAGCCAAATTAAATAAAGCCATTTAAAAATTACAGTGATGGCTATCCCCTATTTAAACAAGCTATTAAAATAAATATCAAAAAAAACCCCATCACTTGACATTTTAACATAAATACTAGAAATCTTTCTGAAAGATTTACTGAATTCAAAACATGGTATCAGGTTTAAGGAAGACTCATAACACATATCACACTTAACAGCTTTACTAAGTGGTCATACAAAATGATCCAGTATTACACTGACCTTAAAACTAATAACTATTTTTTTTTCTTTTTGCAATTTACAAAATAGTAAGGTCGGAGTGGACTGAATAAAGGCAATACTGTCAGTGCTGCCTTTTCCTTCAAGCAGAACAAACAACACTACCCACTGAAACAAGAGGAGAAATCTTTCAGTCTGAGGCAAGGAGCAAGCTGGGAACAGCTAGACTGCAGCACTCATGGTCATTTGGAAAGCCAACCTTAATCATTTGAGGTGGAAACTGAACAAGAAAATAAGGCATTTTCTCAAAACAACTCCTCAACCCTGTAATAAGGGAAAAAGGCTTGAGGCTTGTTAAAAAGGAAGGTAAAGTGTTTCATCCTGAATGAAAAAAAAGCCTCTAGTTGTTGGTTTGGTTGCAATCTTGTACAACCTTTCTGGATTGTTTAAACTTAGTTGTGTATTTAAAAAAAACAAAACCAAAACAAAACCAACCACCCAAAAACCTAAACACAAAAACACCAACCTTCAGGACCGAGTCTCAGGACCTCCCTGTTGAGAAAGACTTTTTCTTAACCCCATTTAGGCTGTCACGTATCAGCATTTAACATTTCCCCTTCCTCCACAAGATTTGTTACTTACAGCCATTCCCCCAACTCAGCCTTCACTTTTAAGCTGAAAATGTCAAATTACTCCAACTTCCTCCGAGTCCTCCACACCATCAGTGATTCTGAGAACCTGTCTCTGCTATGACTTCAGCTCAATCTTTTGAGCCTGACCAAAATTACCCAGCAAATGCAACAGGTCCTGTGTAACATGTCTGATCCATTCTCAGACCTACCAAAACCTCTGTGCCAGATCAACCTGCCACCACACTGCTCCTTCCCACAGCACCAATCCGCCAGCCCTACCACGGCTCCTTTTTCTGACAAGTTTTTGATTTGCAACCACCTGGCTTTGCATCTGGCACAACTGCCACGTTCTTGCACCACACCAAATTCTTGTGCAGCCCCAGAGCCTCCTGCCATCCTGCTGTTGCCTGCAGCCTTTGAGCCAGCAGCATTTTTGTCATGTTTAGCCTCATTCTTTGTCCGGTGATTCGAATGCCACCAAAAGCAAATCATGCAGGCACTTTGCTCAAACTCCTCTTTCAACACTGCCTCAGGTCACCTGTAGCCTCTGCTGCCATCACCTTCTCCACTCTGCATTTTCCTATTAACTACATCTTCTGCTGTATACTCTTATTTAGCACATCCTTCACCAAATGGAGGAAGATCTTATCACATTTCCAGTACCCAACAAAAGCAGTCATAAAAAAGAGAAGGTTGCTCTGGATTAACAGCCTTTTGTTTATTATGGGCCACTTTTCAAATCAGTCATTAACCCCAAGTTTGGCTTTTCATTACTTTTCAGACCATAGCCCAAAGTCAACACCCATCAGTCTTGTCACTGCCCCAATGGCTTTTCCTTTCTGAAGCAGGAAACTGATTACTTGGCTCCAGTCAGAGCAAAAGAGAACCTCAAACACCAACAGAAAAACATTGAAAACAGCACATTTCAGACTCAAATCCTGCAAAGGTTTGTGCCTGAGCAAGCATGGACAACAAACAGCTCAAATACTTCAGAACTGAGCCCAAGAAGTACCCACAATAAACACAATTTCTGGTTCAATTATCAATCCACTACAAACAAAATGTACTTACACAAGCCATGTCCAAATGATGCAAGGAACCCTCTTGGTTTTTCCTTGGGAAATGGGGCTGCAAATGTGGCTGTCAGCAGTTCTTGGCAGCCAGATGTTAAATGTTTTATTTTACATATGTTAAAGAAGCAACTTAAGTCTGACAAAGCAGCATCTTAAAATATGAATTACTCAAGAAATATGAAATCCTGCTTCAACAGCAGGAGACTGCACTTGTTTTGCAAATTTTTGGCCTCAAAGCTCTTATAAGTGTCTTTTCTGAGACAGCTTGCAGTTTCAGGGCTGTTTTCTATTTCATTTCACAAAGGGAACAGAAAGAGTTTTACCATCAAATAAATTGTAATGGATGACATTTTTAGCTGTGAATGTTCAAGGCAAAAAACTTCCTCTCTTCCACAGAGATAAAATTTCACCTTACATAGTGCTCGCTGCATAGAGACCCACAAATTTCTGCATTTGGTGATTTGCAGCCTCTTACCCTTACCTGAACTGAGCTGGAGGCTGCTCTGCAGACTTGCAGGAACAGGGGCCAGAACTTCTCACAGATCCCATAAAACCCAGCTCACCAACCTTAGGGGCGTGCACTGTTCAGACTAATAGTGAATAAAGAGAGAACAGAGCACCAAGGAGGTTCAGCTCCAGGTTCAATTTTGCTCACCACCGATCTCCCTCCTGAAGTAGATAAACTTTTGTCTTTTTTTTAAACTTTTCAGGGATGAAGGACATCTTACCCAGGAGCACAGGAAAGGTCGGAACAGCATCCAGCTGGAATCTAACCTGCCTTGAACACACTTCTGCCTGTGCTCAAAGAAACAAACTCCTTCAATATAGCAAATGCAATTACATCCTGCTGCACCCTTCCATCATCACAGAAGCAAATAAAACAATGGACACTTCTCATGTTGGACTTCGGCAAAAGACATTTATTATTATTATTACTGTTGTTGTTGTGTTGCTGTTGTACCTCCTCTGCTCTGCCCACAGTGGTGGCATAAATGCTGTTACCACATTGTAGCTGATGATGCCGGTGTACAAATCAAAATCCATCTTAATTTCAAACTCCATTAGAAACACAGGAAAAAAGATCAACATTTACGAAATGTAAAGGGAAAAATGGTATGGAAAGAATTTTTTTTTTTTTTATTTTTCAAGCTTCCAAGACAGTATTACAAACAACAGAGAGCAAAGTAAAGCTAGAAATGAAATACTTGACAGCATCTGTTTAAAAATTACAGCTAAGAAACCTAATAAAAGTTGAATAAACAGTTACTAGAAATAAAAATTTTTACACATATGGTATTTGTCTGGGATTTTTATTTCTTTAAAATAATTCATACAAATGGTTACAGTCACAAACATGATTTTAACCAAAAATATTGCTAGCCTACCACATTACCAGGAAGGAATCAATGTAGGCAATGAAATGCTGCTACTTTTCAGTAGTCTAGTGCCTTTTCCAGATACCACCAATAATATATACTTTAACTGGTGACAAAAAGCACAATGCTCGTTTATACAAAACCTCTTTTTTTCCTCAAAATCTCTTTGCAAGGTTGTCTTCATTTTGAAATAAGGGAATTCATGCCAAAATTAGGAGAAACTGTTTTTCTTTTGTTTACTAAATTATTCTAAAAAATAAGACAAGCAGGTAGAAAAAACAATGCACTGTGTGGCGTAGAAAGAAAAATGGGAAAAATTCATTGTCCTGAGAAGTTTGCCAACTGCCTCTTTTTTGGGCATGTTTGAAAATATAAAAGAAAGGATTTTTAATCTCAAAACTGGTTTGTTGAATGCCTCCCTTATGTTTTTCCTTGTTGACAGCTAAGCAAACAAACCCTTTTTAATGTTCTAGAAACTGTACACAGACAAGTACATTCATGATATAATTAACTACTAACTTCTCTTGCTTAACAAAGAACCCATAGGACACAGAAACAGTGAATCAGTCCACTGGACAGGGACAAACTACAATTTATACGGAGGAAAAAATGTTTCCAAATCTTCTTTTTGTCTCCCACCTTTTCCTTTTATACTGTATATTGGACCAGTTTCTAAACCAATAATCGTCTCCTCCTGTAAGTTCATGGTTTTGCCTTTAATCAAAATCCAGGGTTTTGTGTTGTGTTGTTTTCCACACGCGGTTGAAGTCTCGGATGTTGGGAATGCTGTTGTTGGCTACAATTGGTCGCTCGGGTGGTCTCTATCAGCTTCTGGTTTGACAGTTTGGCCGGGGGAAGGAGCATGGGGCGGGTGGGCTACAGCAGGGAGGCCGTGTGATAGAGACATGGGGTTGGGGACTATTCCTTCTACTGCTGCAGGTATGCCAGTGGAAGCCACACTTACAACGCCTGGGGGATACCTGCTGGGAGGAGAAAACCAGAGCAGACATTAAAACCAGGAGCTGATTGAGCAGAGAACCCACCCTGCCTCCTTCTAGAGCTACAGAGATGCTGCTTTCACTTTCAGACCAGTTAGAGGGACAGGGAGTTCAGCTCCATGTCAGATGCCACATGCAAACGCTGCTACATAAAGCACCGGATGCTGCATTTTTACCAAATGAGACATGAAAGTTCTTCAGATTACTTCTTCAGATTTAATAGCAGGAGTAACAACACAGCAAGGAAAACTGCCTTCAAGTTTTGCTGCTCTCAAAGCATAACCTCAGCAAGAAATAATTCCAGCTGGGTCCATGCAGTATGTTCTCTACAACTTTTCCCTTTTTATCTCTTTCATTCTCATGTAGCAATTTCAAATTTTCATTGTTGCGGTTTGAGAAAATATTTATTTACAGTAGTTTTGCAGCCTTAGCTTCCTGGCAGCTCCCCCAAAAAGCCATCACACCCATACACTTGTAAGATGACAAACTCGAGCCTATTGCACCCGAGTAAGTTTTCAGCAGCAAACTTGCCACTGCACTTGTCTGAAGAAGAACCAGTGCCAGATACACAGAGGACAAGTGCTTCAGGCAGACTGCAAGAAAGAGAAACGCAAACACAAAATTTATGGATGGTTCTGAAGATTTCTTACCCTACCTGGACAAACACTGACATCTAAATATTTTATGCATTCAACAAAAGAATCACCCTCTGATTCAGCTCAATTTTATAATGGCTCTGATGTTACCAGGCTAAAAAAATCTTGCAAATCTATTGTTCCAATCCCAAACTTCAGGTGTAACTGATGAACACTGGTATTTCACAGCGCTGTATAAAAACAGCTACACGTGGATTTAATAAAAATCTGTTCTCTTTTTAGTCAAATATCTCAATACCTATTTGCAAGTTACGTCACACTGGCCACCTACCACTGACCCTTTACATACCCTCCTCATCGTAAAGCTGCACACTCATCCCTCATTTCCCTCATTCTCTCCTGCTGTAGTCTGCCCACTCAAGCATCCTGGTGAGACCATTCATTATGCATTTGAAAGCCTGAACACACAAAACTACCACTCACTACAGCTTTTGCCACCCAAGTATTTACCCAGAACTACATAGGACAAAAGGCACTTGTCTTGTCAAGCTTTTTTCAAGTATCACATTATTGTGCTGTTGATTTGCTCCTCATCAGAGGTCAATGCATCAAAGAATTTCAGCCTGTTTCTGCATCTTTTCCATGGCAATAATATGTGTTTGTGCAAGCTCCCTCAAACTGGAAGAAAATTACTGCAGAACTTAGGCAAGACTCAGGAGAAAAAAGCTGGATGCAAGCACACTGACTTGGTTTTTTTTGCTTCCACCACAGAAACATCATGGGAACTGCTTTTGGAAATATGGAGCCAGATGGGCTCAGCAGGAGTGGCACGGCACAGGGACAACAGGGACACCACACACTGGTCTGGCCATCCTGGGAAAGACTCCTACACACCCAACACTGACTGTAATCTGGGATGGGTAATGAGGCTGTGACTGATCACACCACCTGTAGGCCAGATAACTTTGTTCCCAATTGTACACATATTTACAGGGCTTCCTATGCTAATTCCCTCTCCACTGAGGTTCCTTGGAATTAATTTGCAGTTGCTAATGGAATTAGTTGCTTGTTTCAGTAACTCCATTTGAATCTTATTAATCAAATTTGCTTCAGTTCCTATGAAAACTGTCAGACTGTATTGTTTTACCTAAATTTAATTTTGAAACAGCTTTTCTGTTATTCTAGGTGCTTTGCAAGACACACAACATGACACAAATTTCCATTTAAAAGTCCAATACTGCAGCTGTTCTCAGCAAACAATCTCTGCTTTCTAACAACGTATTCCCAGAGTATCAACACACCAGAGCTGGAAAAATGTCACGGAGAGAGCAGCTTCTGAAAACTGTGTTTGCAGGAAGAAAAGTCTGAGCCTCCCCTCGTGAAAATGGACAGTGCTGAATCAGAAGCACGAAGAGTTACCTTATGAGCACATTAAACATTTCTAACTGCATGGCTGTAATTCTACTCTGACTCCAAATATCCTTTTTGTATATAAGGACATTCCCTTAGACACCAAGTCATAACCATCAGGATTCTACCTGCCAGCACTTCACCTCAGGTACAGGTTTCCTACAGACTCAAAGTCCAGAGGCCCTACGATTGTTTTTCTTGTCCTAAAGCTACACAGTGGCAGCAGCCAATACACAGCTACCATATTGTTCCACAAAAACTGCATTTTACTTGACAACTCCTAACCCTGCTTTGCAGTTCTCTTTTTGTAATTTTTGTTCCATTTTAATCATCAGCGTTGCTCAAATCCTGTCTCTGAAAGGAGACATCAACTCAAGCCTCTATCCATGAGCATATGTATTCTATATAACTTTCCCTGCTATTTATTGCTTTTCTAGTCTTTCAATTTTTTCTATTCTTAACCAGCAAATACATCCTTTCCTGCACTTCATGAAGTTCCTCCTCTGGCAGCAGTAAGTTGAGATGTTTTACAGGTAAAATGTCCACTGAACTGAATTTTTGTGAAAGCAGAAGTGAGCAGTCAGTTATACCTCTTCTGTTAATTCATACTCTTCCATCCCCTTCCCCCATGTAGTCTTAATTTAGGAGGAAAAACACAGCAGCCCTCTTAATTATAACAGATGGTCAACTTTAATTTCTACTTTACTCTCATCTAGCTCTTAAACTGCAGAAGCACCTTGAACTCATTGTGTTAAGCTCTGTTCAAGAAACTGAGTCTGTCCTAGAAGAAGTTCAATTTTTAAGTGCACTGTTATCATGCACTGAGTCTGAAAATCACCAGTGAAGAACCCCAACATAAAATAGTTCCTGAATTACCAACATCTAGCTATTCTCATCCAAGGACCTCTTCAGTACTTAGGTATTCACAGAATCATGGAATGGTTTGGGATGGAAGGGACCTTAAAGATCATCTTGTTCCCACCTCCTGACACGGGCAGGAACACCTTCCACTAGACCAGATTGCTCAGAGCCCTATCCAGCCTTATCCTCTACCTGTTAGGAGGCAGGAAGATGTGTGAAATGTCTGTAAGTGGTACAAGCAGTGTTAGTGGCTGCTGAATTTCTCTGTGCCTATGACCTGCCTGCTCTGTGACACAGGAATAACACAGGGAGTTATTTCACAGGCAGCTTGGTAACAAATACACGGCGGCAACGCAAGATCAGGGTACATTATACTGCTTCACCAAGACCACTACAAATAATTCCTTCTCAGGAGTATTGTTGATCTTTACTCATTGGATAGGTCCTGCTTTCATGACCTTTGGTGCTGATAGGGTGTCTTGCACTTTGCATGGTAAATGGATTTGTTTTTTCCAGAATATGATGATATTCAGATGACCTAGATTACAATCTGCTGACTAATGCTCAATGTTCTTGGCTTGCGATATCTGATAATTTGAGATTTCTGTCCTACATCAAAATACAAAAGAATTATATATCCAGAATAAAACAGCCTTATTAGTTTTAGTTCACCAAAAGAGGTATCTGCATTTTTTAACATATAAATTATTATCCCAGGTCTTATCTTCTAATGCAATTACATGAGCATGATACAGTTATTAGCACATCTGGAACATCATACATAGTATGTAAAAGACTCCGAACTCACTTAGCTCAACATAATCTTGGATTGCAAAGAAAAGATGGAAAAATTTGGTTTGAACATTCAAGTTAAATGCTGCACTTAATCCAGGTAGGAATTAAGCATCAGCAAACACTGCTGTTGAAACTAATTTCTTCATAAAAACCTGAGCTTCAAGTGATGCATATTTTGCACTTCACACAGTAGTAACTGCCTTTATCCACATTCAAACGCTATTCTATTGCCCCTCCAAAATGCTCTTAACATTTATTGTGTAACTGCTAACTCCTGCCTCAAATTTCCTAAAATTAGTTTTATTTTGCATTTGAAAATAATTAAATCAGAATTTTATAATAAATTTTCTTTATTGAAAAAATGGACTGAAACAATGTTTTAAAAAGCCACTCAGTTCTGTGTTTATCCTGCTTAAATTGAATACATATGGTCTTTACCTAGTAAATCATTAACTCCCCCAGACATTCCTAAGTTAAAATTAATTTCTGGCTGCTAAGCCTGCTTCTACTGGACTTGTGACCCCCAAAATGAGAACAAAAACCTGCATTTTATTTGGGCATGGACCCCTGTTCTTAACTGCCACAACAGGGCTGGAGTTATTACCTGATGTCCAGCAACACCTGCCTTTAAAGTCCAAATTACATCCAGCCATACCCTCACTACTCCAAACTGAAGTCCTTGAAACCAGATGCTGTGTGGAGGAGAACTTGTGTGCTTGAGCTTCTCATTTAAGCAAATAAAAACAACCTTCTTAGATATTTAGGGCAATGGGCATACTTCCAGAAATAAACCTCTTCAAGTGATGTGATCACCAAATGCAAGTTACTCCTTTCCCTTGGTGCATTTATGGCTCCTGATGAGGAGACTGTGGCAGAGGGTGGTGACATTCGTCCCTGACACCCCTCCATCCCCTTCTGATGAGATTGTTTCAAGTCATTGGGACAGGATAACTTTGCTTCACTCCTCAGCAGGGCATAGCTGGGTTCCCATGTGAAGTAAAACACAAAATCAGGAATCCCCCCTCTACTAAAAGCATGGGGAATCCTCCTAAAGAACAACAAAGTTAAAGTAGATGCATGAAGAAGGACAATGGAAAGATTAGGATAATGGGATATGACAAAATAATGAGAGGACTGCACTTGCCCCTTTCCTCAAGACACTGAGGGAAGCAGACATTTGTAGATTTCTGCTATTTTCATCCTACTTATGTGTAAATACTATACTGGAAAATACAAAAACTGCAGGTGTTTTTCATAAATAAAAATTGTCTGAAGCTGGCTACTAGGAAGAATCTGCTGCTAGAATAGCTGCTAGGGATAAAGGGACAGAGAAGGACTCTTGAGCAAACAAAACAACTAAGGAATGTGCATATTAGATGTAAAAAATTGCCCCTTTCTATTAATTATTAAGACCTACTTTCACAGTTGACTGAGAATACATAGATCAAGTCTCTCAAATGCTTCTGCTTAAAAATTAAACATATGATTTAGAAAAAGCTATTTTAAATGTATTTTCATAATCACCACAGGCAGTCCCACTGTTTTCAATACTGAGTTACTTGTTCTCTCTTGTGTCTGGAGGCAACAAAACAATATAAGTTTATTACTGAAAGTCTTTCTGTAACCTGCAGCTGCATCATTACCTTCAGCAAAGGAATATAAAACTTCCACTGCAACAGTGGAGATGACCAGAATTGTTTTACTTGAATATACAAACAAATGGATATTGCTCACATACCCAATAAAAAGAGACTGTAAGAGGATTCACGGTTAGACACAGCATGACTGACAACAACTAACAAAACAAGATTATTCTCCTGAACACAACGATTACAAAAACAATATAGCTGGTGTGTAATGCACTTACTTCAATCAGTAACAGGAAGGTCTTTTATCTATTCTTGAATACCTACACTGAATTATGGAGGTATTTCTTCTACCTCTTCAGCACACTTACCTGTATGCAGCACCATTAAGCTCTGGATGAACAACTCCAGGGTCCATGCTGGCCCAATGTGTAGCTGCAGTCAAGTGATCTTTATTAACACAGTTTTTCAGACTGTCTGGAATACGACCTAAGATGAAATGAGGAAGAGGAAAAAAAAAAAGTATAAAAATTGTGTGCCTTATACTCTTAGTATGTTTATGTTAGGAATACTTACAAATATTTGTGCATTTAAATCAATAAATAAAGTGGCACCAAGAGCTTGTTTCTGATCCTTGCTGTAGCCTTTTGCCTGGGACTTAGGTAATAATGGCTGAAATGCTCTGCTTAATTTTCATTTACCTGTCTATATCTCTTCTATACAGGGTCTCAGGAAAACCAAAATCAGTAAGATTAATCTTTCCAAGAAACTGTAATTTGGATCTAGAGCATAGCTACCTATCAAATTCAGTAATGTAGCTTTCTGTCCTTTACATCACTTTCCTCCTTGCCCTTCTACCTGTCACAGCAATTAAAAACATTTAATGAAAAATACAGAATTCTGAATGGAATTGTGCCATAAACGTGAATATGACCAACATTTAATCTCTCTCCTCCTGAACTTTCCCTTCTGTATCTGAATTGCTCTTCACTTTTATTTACTGCAATGTATTAATCCTCAGCCATGCTTTTCATTCCTAGTAAAATGAAAATACACCAGAATTTCCTTTCTTCACTTCTTCAAAACCTTTTATTAATATCTGAAGTACAACTGAAGTTTTAAAGACTGGAGAATCTGTCAACCTGATTCAGCACATACTGGACAAGCCTGTGACTGTCTTTTGCAGAACTACCTTCAGCCCTGCAAAAAATGACATGAGCAGATCCAGCACAGATTTTCTTCATAGCAATAGGAATGTTTCCACCTGTTTTAACAGGAGAGAGATCAATTGAAGCATGTGCTTTTTCTGACATCTGTTTTATTAATGAGTCTTCACTGAAGTTCAATCTTACAGTGCATTTGCACATAGAGGAGCAGAAAGAGGTAATTTGGAGTCCACCCCTGCCACTGCTGGCAATGCTACTCCAGAAACCCTTTCAAAAACTGACCATGTTCCATCATGAATCAAGAGTTCAGTCTTTTGTCTCCAGCTTCCTACTGGAAATTTGATTAAGGACTGCACTATCTTTCTATCCATCAGCCCAGTAACAATGGGTCTGGTAAAATGCCTTTTCATGAAACTGCTTTTCATGCAATGGATACCATCAAATAGTGTTACTCCGTGACTTTAGCTGATGTCCCTGAACCTGTGACATCTCCTGTGCACAAGCACAGCACTGAACAAGGTGAGGTACGTGCCCCGTTACAGGTGAATTCCAATCATTTAGGAATCATCTTCAAAATGTAGCTGAAATATACATACATCTCAACTTCTGCCAGAACTATCCACAAATTTCAACAGTACCTTTCTTCTTCTGATGTTTATCCTTCTCAATCCTGTCTTCCTCCTTCCCCTTGTTCTTCATTCTGCTAACTTCTGTAGGCATGTTCTACCAGTCTCCTCTCAAAACCTAGTATTTGTTTGTTTAATTTTAAACTTAAAATTATCTTTTCACTTGCCATGCTTGCCTTCTTCTTATTTCCATTCCAGTGGTCCTCTTTACTTCATACTTGGAATGCTTTCAAGTTTAAAAATATATTTCAAGGTATTTAACCTCTGCTGATTATTTGTATTTTACACATCACAACATCATTGACTTTTAAGTAACAGCAGAAACACTTAACATGTTTATTGTCAAATGGTAGTCATAGCCTTCATTCCTACACTTCACACCTTTCTGCAATTATTCTCCCTCTCTACACCCTCTCTTTGTGCTCCCCTATGATTTTCATATATCCAGCTTTATCCCATATTTCCTGTATCTTTCCTACATTTGTTTCACTGCAATTCAATGTCATTCTCACCTCCTTAATGCTGGTCTCAGTTTGATCTTACTAAAAACCATATGCAAACACTGAAGTACTGACACCTTCAATACAAATCAATGATCCAGATTGCTGAGAGCACCATCACACACTTGAAGGAACGGCAGATCTGCCTTCCTAGGCACATATGCTTGGGCTACTGCACAAATTTCACATAAAACTAGCTCTGGATAGCTGGATCTTCTTCAGTTTTCAGACCATAGCCTATTAATTCTGATTTGCACATCAATCCTCCCTCACGCAGGTATTGGGTGCTGGTTTGTGCAATCTCTCCCAGAGCTATCTAGGAGTTATTGAACAGACTCACAAACAAATGTACCACTGGAGTTCTGGAGTACAGCCACAAGGAGCAATTCCAGCAAAAGGATGGTCAGGCTCTTCAGGTCACCTCTAAAACAGTGAAATTGTCCAGTAAAGGACAATTCAGATCAGGAGTTAAAGAGGTGCCTTTAATTAGCATCCAGAAGAGAATCTTCTTTCTGCACAGGCTATAAATGCAACTAAATTGCCTGGCCTCTCTAGGCACAAGCCAGAGGGAAGGCTACTGCCAGTGCTTTTTGTGTAACAGAGCAATGTGCTGGCACTGAACTACTCTCAAGGTGACACAGATGGCCCTGCATGTCTGCAGAGCATTCAGACAATATTGCCAAGGGGGACACAGCAAAGTCCAACTAAAGAGAAAACATTAGTGCTTAATGAATCATTTTCCAGTATGAAAATCCTTCTTTTTATTTTAGGCTACAAGGGATTCAAACCCATGCCAAATGGCTCAGTCCTCTCATTTTACTTATTAGCAGCGCATGTTCGAGACATAGCTGTTTTCTCTTATGTGAGCAGTTTACAATTACATGGCAGTTATATAACAAAGACACTCTGCCCTTTAAAATGCCAGACTTCTTTAGCAAGGCTTTAAAGAGGGGAACACCTAAAATAGAATAACCTCTCAATAAAATACTGAAAACTTTACGTAGAGAAATGCTTATGACAAGTGTAAGGGAGTGTCTAGGAAAAGCTAAGGAAGGTACCAGCAATACCAGGAGGACTTGCAGTCAAACCCATCAAATGGATAATACTTACATGCAACAAAGAAAAGAGCAGATGATTTTTCATATACAAAAATACATTTTCTTTACATGAAAAAAGTACTTATTTTGCAATGCCTGTGTTCCCTTTGTAATTGCAAAGAACCTCCAAAATTACCTGTTCAAATTCTGAGAACAGACTTAGCAAGCATTTGCTGATTTCTGTGTTCCAAATATTAGAAACAAAACCCAAGGCTGCTTCTTTTCGGCATCTTTCAAGACTGAAGAAATAGGTTTCTTAAAATGAACTACACAGGGAAGGAGCTAATAATAATGTGAGTCAGTACCTGTGATCGCCCTTCGGATCTCTCGTGCTGCTTCCTCCCGCATCTCAATTGAGGCTTGTTCACTATACCAGGCTGCATGTGGGGTACAGATCAGGTTTGGTGCATCCTTCAAGGGGCCCTGACTAAAGCTAAATGAAAATTTAAAACAAGATCAAATGACAAAAAAATATTGGGGACAAGGGGAAAGCAAGGTGGGGAATCCTGATGGATTTGGACATACAGAGATTAATTTCTACAACACAAAATAATTTCATTTCTATTCTTTACTGAGTTTGTTTATAATTCTGTCTGTTAATTTAATGCACTATTTGGGGTATAAATAAGCAACAATCACTTTTTATAGACTCAAAGGGTGGGGCTTAAGTATAGCAGCAACATTAGCTTCTGTCCAATGCACTTTTTGTTAACTACAGCCACTTTCACTCCAGTTCTGGGGCAGAAATGCATAAAGGAAAACCCACATTAATTTAGGATGCCATTCTATTTGTCCAGTTCATCACAATTTTACTTTTATAGCATTAACCAACAAAACTCTTCTCTTTCTGTCAGTATGACATCTAATCATTTGAAGGAAAAAAAAAAAAAAAAAGATTTACAATTATTTCCAAATCAAAAGCGTGTCCATCAGCAGCCTCAATGCCTTTTGGATAATTCAGAGGGTTTTTTTTCTTTTAAGTATTTTTTCTTTCCCATTCCTTTATAGAAACTCCACAGAAAGAAGGAAATTTACTTTACAGATTGTTTTTCAGGGAAAGCAATGAATCTATGTAAAACTGTTATCACAGATACAAAGTAGAGAAATCAAAAATAATGGAAACTTGCTCCTCCTATTTATTTCCAGTTTTAATAATCTTGCAGTCAACTGTAACAGGAGAGCAAATATTTAAGACAAAAGCATGCTTTCAGAGTTGGTCATAATTCATAAAATGACAGATTTCATCTGTAGTTCAAAAAACATCAAAATATCTGGCAAAACTCTTGAATAAAGAGTTACATGCTGCAATCAGATAGACATGCAGCACTGAAGCCAAAGGAAACTGTGGCTGTAATCCTGCAACTGAATCTCTGCAAATGGCATCTCCATACAGTAAATGGGGCTTCCTAGAGGTGCAGTGGGCTGCTTTGTGCAGATCCCAGATAGGAATTGGGAAGAATGTATGTAGCTGCAAGTCCCTTGAGCTGCTACACTCTGGCTTTGCACAGCACTATTGTGTTGTAATGACTATGTTTAGGAATAAATGAATCCAGAGTACACATAAATAAAATTAAATATTTGTGATGTGGCATTGTGCCTCAGTAGATAAAAAAAATCCTGAGTAAAAGGATATTATTCTATTTTATCAAAGGTTCTATTTCCCCCTCAAGCTGGAATGAGAGATACTGTCCTCTCTCCAATCTTTACAACCTGTCCTGCACCTGTTCTTCTTCAAAAACTTATGTGGATTGTTCCAGTTAAAAATAACATTTTTCCCTGCCAGCCTGAAAAAGGCTTGTCACATGCAAGGACTAAGCTACAGCAGTCTATTCTCAAGACTCAAGGACATATGAAATAGGCTCATTTTGATTAGAAAGCTGATAGCTCAATGCCAATGCCACTTAGGGGAGTGGTACATTTCTGCCTGAAACACTAGACTTGTCAGTCATTCAAAAACTCAGGCTTGTGCTACCAGCCCTGCCACTGACAGTAGAGTTACTACTCCTCTTATAAAGGGTAAAACAAAACAAAACCTGCACTCTGACAGCCTTCCTGAACTTTTTTTTTTTGCAACCTCTTACACACTTATGGCTTTCCTGCAGAGGCAAGCTGGACAAATGTCTTTTTCTTCAGAAAAGTATCATAAAGAAATTACTTCTCACACCACATCTCAATTCCTTGCCTTTGAAAGACTCTGTTCAGACATCAGTTGCCTCCAGAGCTGCATCAGTGGCAAAGATGTACTCCCCTAAAAGCCATGGCCAAAGCCATGCCCAGGATTTGAACTCAGGTTCCTGCTATTGTTCTTAAATAAACCCACTGTTTGTTTTGTTTTCTTTTTAAGGAATTAAATCTTGTCACTTTTTTCACTTCTAACCCAAGCTTCATCTACATTTGCATTAGTCCAGTGCTGCACAGATTCATGTTGCTTTGCTAAGGAGTATTTAGCTACCAAATGAACGGAAAACTCAATTTACTTGTTGCTGTTGATTGTATCATGCACTAAGACTTAAAAATAAGAAAGTGAACAAAATAAAAAGAAAAGAAAAGGAAAAGCACCTGAATGGTTCTGACTCATGTACATCTAAGGCTGCCCCTCGTATCCTTCCTTCCTTCAGGGCCTGTGCAAGTGCTTTTTCGTCTACTAACCCACCTCGAGCTGTGTTGACCAGGAAAGCCCCTTGTCTCATCTAGGGAAAGTTAAAAACAAGAATGATGAAATAAAAATAAATGAAATAAAATCGCTGTGGCATTATTTTTTACTCAAAAGAAGCATCCATTACAACAAAGGCTATTCAGCTGATTTAAACTTTAACAGTTGTCTTCCCTCTCCATTGGAAAGTACCACCAAATGTGATGCTTCTAATATAAAATGCTATTTCACAGCACTTAATAAGCTTTTGTTTCTTGTAAGTAGTGTCTTTTAATAGAAGCGTTGCTTCAGATATTGTGCAGTAACATGATCAAAAGATACAACTGTGCATATGAAAGTGACGGATCATTTTATGCCTTTTTATTTCACTGTGAAATTGCATGAGACAGAAACTACAGCACATTCTTAAACAAATTCGTATTTTGTGGCTTTCAACTTTCACACAAATAAAAGCCTACATGAATTTTTCAGAAAAATCAATGCTTTTGGATTTTCAAACACTTTTCCCTTTAGTTGCCAAAACACAGTAGATGTATGTATTATTTATTTTTGTTACTTCAGCTTCCTCCTCCCCTGTGAGACTTTTCAAATAAAGGTCTAAAGAATTCTTCTATTATTCAATTAAAAGGCATGAAAATGAATTTGGTTGAGAACGCTGTGTGCCCAGGAGAGAAGCTGTGCTGTGCATTGTGCAGATTAGCATTGTAGATGACACTACAATCAGTGTGGGGAGAACTGTAAGAATTTACACCATAATATATCCACAACTTGAAAACAAAGTGGCAGTTTAAATAAGAGAAATGGTACTGAAATAAACATAAATTAAAGCATCCTGCATCCAGCCACCCTGGTATTTCATCTTTGCCAGATGAATCAAACACCTCTGTGCATGAAGGAAAGCACATGAAGAGCAGGAACCACGGTGAAGATGAGGAATGAAAATTTCATTTTGAACTGACTCCATCTCTCACCATAAAAATAAGCAAACCCCAACATTTTGACACCAACTCAACTTCATGAAACCCACACATCAAACTAAACCTTAGATAAATGGATCCTTACACTCATATACTGATTCAAAATGCCAAATCATCAAGAACAAGGAGGTTTGAATAAGTGAGTTTTCGGTTCTGTTTTTTTAATGAGGTCATAGGGAATATTAATATGCACATGCTTGCAGTGTTTTATATAGAAAAAACCCACCATATTTTACTGGCCAACACTAAATTTGAAGTGGCCCTGCCTCTCTCCATCTGCAGACTCCTGGGCCTATGGGAGAACCATCCATTGGTCTATACAGCAAAGCCAAACTTCACTTGCAGGAGCAAGGAGAACTAACGGATGCTGCTCTCAGCTTTATGTAATTAACATGGGAATCAGGACAGCAAAGAAACTGAGGCAGGATCTTAAGCTAGTCTGGTAATAAGAAGACATTCCTTATGGGAACAATCACTGTATCTCCAGTTCTTAGTCAGCTGTAGGAACTGTACCAAAACCAGCCCAAGTGGGCTTACCATAGAGCCACGTACAGCTAGCAAGACACACCATAAAGGCTCATGGGAGCTCATATACCCTACCCTTCTATTTCTGAACAAACCGGTGATTTGAGTGCGAAGTACAGCTTGGTGTATTTACAGGCCCTCTAAAGGACGTGAAAATTTTACTTAAAGTGAACCATGCTAAAATCTCCCATCTTCCCAACAACCCTGCTTGAGTTTTCATTTTAGGACTCTTTACAAAACTCCGGAACTAGCACTACGACACGTTCAAATCAAACAGAACATGTCTGCATAAATGCATTCTAGAGGGAATGAATTATGTGACTCATGTTAACTGTCAGGGTGGATGCAGCTGGAGATGATCCTTAACAATGGGTGGAAGCTTGAAAGAGCTTCACAGCTGGAACTGCTGACGTCTGGTAAATTCACCTACACTAAACCTGCAGAGCTGCTTTATAAAAGTATTGTGTTTAAACTGCAGTTTTTCTCAAATCTGTGTAACTAAAGATGACCTCAGTCTCTTAAGAGTACCTGAATACCACAAGTTCATTGAAACACTTCTCTGAGCTACTCTGGGAATACAAGAAGCAGGATGGCTATACAGAATAATGATTAATTCACTAGGAAAGTTACTTAAGAGAAGACAGACACCAAATTTTCAAAAACATTTTATGTAATTTTGGACTCAACAAAATTCAGGGTGAGACTTCAGTGAAATGAGATGCACCATACTTCTCTGCACTTTGTTTAAAAGCTGGTTATTACATGACATGTAATATTGGACAAAAATGGTATGCCATGCTCTCTAGAAATTCTAGGCCAACTCCAACATCTATCAGCCTAAATCACAATATGCTCTAGACAAACTAAGCAGTCAGAGGGGTTACAATTTCATGGGTTTCACCTCCACTTTACTATCCAGACTGCTTCACCCAAACTCCTACCCAAAGCAAGAACTATCATTTAACACTTTAATTAATCCTTGCTTTGATCATGAAGGATAACAAATAGGAAGATAAATGCTTACAAGATACTTTCCACTGCAGAGTTTATTATAGGCATTTCATTTCAGATAGCATTACTCAGTTTTAACATGTTTATCTTTGTTTGTTTCTCTTATTAATGCACTATGCCTTCTCCAAAGCTCGACACATTTCTCTGCCTTCACTCAGAAACTTCCCGTGGTAAACTGGCCCCAGTTTCACAACTGCTGTATAATAAAGTGACCAATGGTCCATAGAATTCAGTGTGATGGTTTTTGGGTCTAGATGTCTGCTTGAAAAGACATCTCACCATGTAATAACCACTGAACGTATCCAGCCATACAACAAAAGACAATATTCAAGGCAGGGTGACAGAGTTCTGGTCTCTTAGGTTTTATTTTAAGCTTCTTAATTTTTTAGAGTTTTAAATCCCAAATCCTGATTTTAAGTTGTGATGGATTTACAAAATCCCTAAACTCTCAAATCAGGAAGTGTGTTGCATTGTCAGTTTTCTGTCATGATCCCACATGACTGAGGAACATCTTCAGTTTTTCAGTTCTAAAGTTCAAGAGTAGTAGGTACTATTTCCCAGAAGACAAGCAATGATTTTACTGCAAGAGTTCTACTGTCATTGTCACCAACATATAAACCCACTATATATACATACATATATAAAGAACAGCCAAATCAGCTATTCTACCTTAGGGTTTCTTTCCTGTACATTGCCTCCATTCTTATGTCTGTGTTTAACTTCTGGCTGTTACCTAAACTAAAGATGGAATCAAAATTTTCATTAAGTGTCTGGCTTCTATTATCAAATTTGTCAATAATGGAGCAGCAGTTACTACACCCAGATTTTCAAATTATTTTACATGTTACCTACAACTTTAGGGAGAAGTTAGTACTGATTCCAATAAATATTATTTTTCCCAATAATGCAATGCTGTATATGAGCTCCATCATTCAAGTGCTCTGTGAGCATCGGGACTGAGCACAGGGGGGAGCCATTTAGTCATAATCCTTAAATTGCATCAAAGGAACTCAAACAGGGACAAGTGAAAGGCAAAACTGCTACCTGAAAATACACATGTAAAGGAAGAAGCTACTACACGACACAGAAAAAGTGCTTTTACATCAATGTCACTTCATTAAACCTTAGCAATATTAAGAAGAGCACATTATTTCCACAAATGCAATGTTACTGAGCCAAAAAGCAGTAAAAGCAACAATACATAAGCAATGAGCTAGTTCCTAATCATAGACTTGTTTGATCTTAGAGCAGCAAGAAAGGAAGATTTCTATCAAATGAGAATCTACCTATTTACAGAAATAAATTATATACAGAGTTGGCAACCAGCAGTGGTGTGGAGGGCACCCACAGAGATTATTACCTGCTTTATGGTGAAGTCATTAATAAGATGATGATTGTGTTCATTCAAGTTGCAGTGCAGGGTAACACAGTCACTGTGGAACAGCAGGTCCTGCAAAGTGCTCACCCGCTGCAGTCCCAGAGCACGCTCCATGCCATCTGAGAGGTATGGGTCATAGAAAATCACACTGAAGCCAAAGGCTTTGGCACGTAATGCTACTGCTTGCCCAACACGCCCTAGAACAAGAGAAACACGTCATGAGAGCAGATGTGAAGCAGCTGCTGTAAGGTGGCCTCCTCCTTCATAATGGGAACACTTGTATCAAACCATAACGCTCTGTACAGCAACTGGAAGGGCAGAAAATGGAGGCGTCTCCCATCCCATTCAGAATCATCACTGAGATCAGAAATGGAACATCTGGACTGTTTCACACTGCCTTGAAACAAAGAAGGAGGTTTGCACCTTTGCCACCAGATATATGAAATGCCAGAAGATGTCACATAATCTGCAATAATCTGTATAACGCAAGGCTTGCCTGCTGGCCCTATTTATGGCAAAACACCACTGCCTGTGATCACATCCTGCCAAGGGCTTATCCTTACCCATGTCAAACCAGCTGGCTTTAATAAAAAGCTATAAAATTAATCCTCAAAAATGGATGCAATGACAGATAATTTGTTTAATCTGAAGCGCAACCATTCTGAATACATGGAATCTCCTTTCTGGTATTTCTTACATTTTGAATAACGTCCTTCCAGCATTAAAATGCCTACAAGAATCCTGTCATCTAAGTACTTAAAATAAATTTTATTCAGCTACCTGAATGATAAATAAACATAGTACATCACATGGCACCTAATTAAGAAGAGTGCAGTCCCACATGGAACTCACACTGCACTTTGCTTTTTTGTTCCAATTTCCTTACTGTTGTAGCTCAGAGCTGTGCCAAAAGCGCTGTATGGGTGTGACTCCATACCACAAGTACCAGGAGGTGTGTACTTCCCTTTGTACTTTCCCTTTACACACTACCAGTAAAACACAGAGGGAGAAAACCCCTGAGTACATCTAATGAGTTACAGGCATTTTGAAGAGTGAAAACTAACACAGTTTTCAAGTTACAAGTTTACAGATCAGATATTCACGCTGGAATACTACAAATGCTGGATAAAGACATTTCAAAAGCATCACTTGACATACCATAATAACAATTTTATTAAAAAAAACTCCAAAAAAGTCAACAAGTTTTCCTTTATAACGTCTAAATTTGTTCAAAAAAGCATCAAATTAACCCAGGGAAACCCCATCTCTTTCCAATTGTGCTTGAAGGGATTTCCCTCTTCTTCTCAGTTTCTATTTGAATAAACTTCAGAAGCCACAGGAAGAAAGGTTTTTGCTAATCACTTAATGTGAACACAGCAATTCTGCAGTGCTTAGTGACAGATGTGCTTGGAGTATTAAACAGTGTATCAATCTGACAGGGGCTGTCTGCTTTTCTTTGGGGACACCAGGTTAGAATACTTCTCAAAATCTTTCAACACTTTGCATGCATGTTGTTTGCTTTCCAAGCTGTTTTTATAAATTTGAATTAGAAAATTTTCAACACAAACACTGTATTGTTTCCAAATTTTGGCATGTTCACAGCTCAAGGAATCAGTCACACAACTGTAAACATTTTTTATTTTTTTTAACAAAGCACATAACTGTTACTCCAGCTCCATTCATTTTCACATGCAACATTCTGTCATCTGTTCTTTTTTTACACTCTTTAAAACACTAATACCTGGGGGGATTCACAACAGCAAAATCTCTTACAACACCCTCTTCAGTTAAAGCTACACTCTTCATTCACCTCACCCAGGCTAATAAACCAAAGCCTTCCTCACTGGGCACAAAAGTTTCCTCCAAAAACACTTGGGAATCATATCTCTATTTCTAACCAGAATTATCCTATTATAAATATTTTATGGAATAAAACTCCTCTGCAATTGACAATTCCTATTTAGTGTTAGTCATTAAATAAGTACAAAGCTGGACACAAGGAATTTTTCAATTTGTTTTTAAATTACCATCTGACATAAAGAGCAACCACAAAACTATGACCTTTTTTTTTCTTTTCCGAAAAGCTTCTATTAGGTAAGACTCTCCTGGGCAGGAGGAGTGGCTCAAAACCTACCTCAATACACTGAGGACAATACAGCACACAAGGAGTCCCACCTTTGGGACAACTCTATGTTAAGAGCGTATCACATTGTTATGAATATTCATGGCTGCTTCCAGGGAGGGCAAAATCTTAAACTCAAAACCTTAAATGAATTTCTTGGTTGGTAGTGTGAGAAGAATGCAGAAAATTAATGCTGCATACAATTGCAAAAAAAGCAGAAAGCAACAAATATTTTCTAAATCAAAGTTCTAGCAAGGTCCATTCATCATTTCAGAAGAGAGACTCAAACAGCCAAATCTCCTGTTACAGCCTCATCCATTCACTCCCCCACAAGTCTACCAATTCTCCCCAAACCAAGTGTCCCAATTTCTACGTGTGCCTGACCTTGACACTGCCAATGACCTGATCTGAGTATGACAGTACAGCAGCTGCAGGTCAAGGACCCTGCTCAGCCCTTGGGCAATGCACACTCATCCTAGGCTGGTACACCAAAGTTTTATAAAACGACCTTGATACCATGGAAATGATGATGATGACCTGCCTGAAGTCTTCCACGGAAATAAAAAGTGCTTTCATTTAGCAGCTCTTCTGTCTGTGCAACAGCATTGGAGAAAATGGGTAATTTTCCTCCTTCTTGGAGAACTCTGAAATGTGGAGAGTGCTGTTTTGTTACATTTCCTGCTGAGCACATTAAGACAGCCAGTAGGACTGCTAAGAGTAGATCATTTATTGCAGAATAATACCACCCAACTCTTAAGCCTTGCTGTCTTATAACACAGGTTAGTAATTTGGCCAAGCATCTAGGTAGGGCAGCAGGACTGTTGAGAGAATAGAGCAGGTGAGGAAAGACAAACTGAGTGATGACATTCACTGTGATGTGGAGACAAATTTATTTAGAAGAATTTCACCTCTCTTGGGTGAGGAAAATGCATGAGTCATTAGTCATCAGCATTTCTCACTGAGAAGGAAGGGAAAGGGAGTGTGACTTCACTGTTGTAAGATTATCATTAGAGCAGAACCAGGGCCAGATGTCTATTCATCCAAATACTTACATGCTGCTGTTCAGAAATATTCCTCCTTAAAAAAAACCCACAAACCCCTACATTTCTACATATAAGATGAAAAGGTAGCTTTTGTTTTTTTTTTTAATGTGTGGCTTATTATCCACACTTGTGTTGCATCACTTAAAATACAGGAAACTGGATAGTAATGAAGATTAAAAGTGACAAAGACAGCTGTTTAATGATGTGATATTATTTATGTGAGGCTCAAAGAATTAGACACTTCACAAAGACAGAAAGAGGCATGGGCTGTGCCCTAAGGAGCTCAGGGGCTAACCAAACAACACAACAATGATGGATGGGATCGAACAAGCACAAGAAGGAGGCATTATACTGTTGAGTCTCTGCTTATCTTAAAGCTCAATACAAGCAGAGGATGAGAGATGGGGTTAACTTTAAAGGAGTAAAACAGAGTAATAGGATTAAGCAGGACAGAGCAAGTGTCAAAGCAGGAATATGCATGAGAGGAGGGAAAGAGTGGGTGATGGAAAGAAGGCAAGTGAGTCACGAAACTTGGCTAGATCAGTGGATAAGGAAGTGAGTAGCTGAAACTTTGGAGACACAGTCATTCCCTAGCACAGAGATAGGCAAGAGCTAGGGTGTTTCTCTTTGGCAAAACAAGAGAAAAGTCCAGGAGCAGATGTTAAGAAGGTCTGCAGTTAGCTGTTGCAGCAGCAGTGATAAATTTAAGCAACCCACTGCTGAAGAGACCACAAGTTTTAAGATAAGAATAGAAAAACACAGTTGTGGTTGAGAGGAGATGATCTCAGACACACATTAATGACAAAGGACAGAAACTGAGACACTGCACAGAAACAGAGGAAAGGGCTTAGCAACAGATGATGAGAACTGTTTATTTTGTGTGTAATACATTCAATTCATAGCATCTGGGTGGATCATCACTTCTGACACTGATGTGTCTAAATAACAAACCGAGGCAAAACTCCAACTGCGGGGAGAGGCCACTAGTGAAGAAACACAACCTAAAGACAACAGGCTTTGGTTGTAAATACATATTTGAGTCTAAAACTCTAGACAGGTAACGTCTTGCAGTGATCTGTACTAGAAAAGGGTGCACATCACAGCCTAAGTGCCTGAAGTGCTCACACAGAAATTCCGGTAAATCTTCTAAGTCTACATTTTTACTCTTCATTAGTACATAGAGTCATAGGAGTTTGTTAGAACAGGTGAGAATTGAAGCATTGTGCCTATTCACACACATGCACAAGAAGGAAGAGTGGAAGTTTTCAGAAGTGACTTTACAATATAGTGCTCTTTGAAATTGTGAATATTCTATGGTAAGGAATATATATAGGAACAACAAAAGGCTGGAGATAATGACCAGTTAATAACTTTAACAGATGTGTGCCCTTAAAAATCAGATTTTACTAATCTTTTTAGTGTAACATGCACAAAAAATGCTTGCTTTTTACAACTAAAACCAAAACCTAGCATTTTGTAAAGCTTTATACAAATACTGGCAATCTGATTATCCAGTCATTGATTGATTACAATAATTGAGAACAAAACCAATGAAACTCACTTAAGAATGTCAATGACGAAAGACTTTTCCTTTCTGATCTCAAGTTTGAATTTGTTCAGTAAAAACACCAAACTGAATGACAACAGTACAGATATCTCCAGTAAATGTGCACATTGCATGTGAGCCAAAGCTTAAGTTTCAAAAACCAGGTATGCATTTCCATTTTGGAAACACTGCAGGCAACTATTATTTATGTGTAGATGCTGTGACTGTGAGCACAATAATCATTGTGTGTTTAAATGAGATGGATAATTACCTGAGTATAGTTTTGAGAAAGCAAAGTCATGACTAACTTCTTGGAAGTCATATTTTAAAGGCAATTCTTTGATTGTGAAGATGGCTCTGGTGTACAGCATGCTCATTTAAATGAGCACTATGTAACACCAGGCTATTTTCAGCTTCTGAAAGTAAGAGTTCGTGGCTTGAGTTATTTGACAGCAATGTGTAACTGGAGCAGTCATTTAAATATGATGCTTTGTTGTCAAAATCATATTATTAATTCCTGTGGATGAATAGCACAGCAATTACACCCACAGTCTATCAGATCTGTGTAAGACAAGTACATGACTGAATAATTTTTACATAGAAACTGACTTGCTTGTTTTTCTTCTCTACTTCTGTAACAGACAGTAATTAATTCATCTCAAGCAAGCCTGTCCATCTGTTGGATGCTGAAAAACATTTAGGGTTACTCAGAGAGGTAAGTAGGTGATTTTATTAGGTCTGGAAACATTTCAAACTTTCTTGCATATATTCTTCCTCTCATTAGAGCTGAAATACAATTTCAGATCAAGCTTAATCAAATGCACACAGTAACTGCTCTGCAGGATATCACGGCAGCAAAGACTTTTTAGTAATGTAAAAAACTGTAAAAGGAAGAAAGTCCAAAGAAAATCAGATATGAAAATGAGTAAGGGATAAAACACACATATGTAACTGGGCTGGAGTAGCAGGATCCTTGTCCTGGAAAAGGGAAGTGATGATGTCTCCTCTTACAAACGGTGTGCCCGATAGCAGGCAATATGGCAACAGAAAGACATACAAAAACTCAAAGAATTGAGAGAATATCAGCAATAAAATAAGTTTTCTGAGGAAAATTATTATGTCTGAAGTGAAAACATTTGAGTTATACAATCATCAGGAATGAATACCTGACGTGGAGTGAGCAAATATTCCATTTTTATATCTCAAATCTTCACTTTTTTTTAAAGCGATGGACAGCAAAGGGCATGAAACACGTATGAAGACAACATACCTAATCCAATAATGCCCAAGGTCTCCCCTCTGATCCGGGCAGCTCCAGAGGCCACTTCCCGAATCTGCTCGACGCTCTGTACCCTCGTGCCTTCCCGCAGGGCCTGGTGCAGCCAGGTGGTTCTCCTGTACAGGTTCAGGATGTGGCACATGGTGGAATCTGCCGTTTCTTCTACGGAGGCGGCTGGCACGTTACACACGGCGATCCCTGCAAGCAGCGGGGGAGAGGATGCCAGTTGCCAAACAATGCTTGCTTTTTCCCATTGAACAGCAATACAGGAGCATGATGTTTGAAATTACAGGTATTTCAACACATCTTGCAGAAATACTGAGTTTTTGACTGTAATGGAAGGCAGAATACCTGATATAACAATTGACAGCTATATCCAACTTATTTCTCTGATTTTTTATTACTAATTACTGTGCTTTTATTTATTGCAAACTACAGCAGATAGTAAACAGGCCACTGAAACCACAGAAGAAAAGCACTGAAGATGTCTGATAGTTTAGAACATGAGCTTTGTTAAGTGCTTTACATTTCCACTGAGCTTGGTGTTTTGAACAGCCAAGAGAAATCTGCCTTGCTCTGAACAGTGTGGTATCACAGTTTAGGTTTAATGTGTGAGTTAGCTTTCCACCTCTGGGCAAATACCCTCCCAAAAGCTATCTATGCAAATAACAAAAAGGATAAAATAATTTATAATGACAGCAACTCTAATAAAGCCTTCACAGGATAACTGTTAGTAATTCCACATCATGTATAGATAATTATGATACAGGGAAGGATAATCTGTTACATATTGCACAGGGGTTTTTAGAATTACATCAAACAACATCCCAGGCCTTTCCTGGTCCCCACATTAAAGGGAACCCATCTAATTGTCAACAGGAAAACGCAAAATCTGCCTCTGCATGGCATGCAAAGGTAATGCCAAATTAATTCATGTTCCTAACTGAAAAGTTACCAGTTGAAACAAGTGTAACATCAAGCATCTTAAAGTGTTACAGATTTCCACAGAAAACAGTGGAAGATGGACTAATTCAAGACTCACAACAAGCCTATTTTACTTCAAAAAACAGATGAAGCAACAAGTGACTGTAAATGCATTCAAACAATCCCATTCTGCTTTTCACCTTCCAGTACTCAATACACAGCAGCTAAGCAAAACGCCTGAAAAACTTAGTGTCCTTTTTGACTTGTCTCTCTTCAGTCTTTCCATGTACTGCATGTTCTTTCCTTAATCACCAGCTCCCACAAATGTTTGTGTCTCAGTTCTGCTGACTGAAACAACAAACAGCACACAGTATAATTTCATGGTGGAGAAAAAAAAAAGTGTTTTGTATCCTAAGAACACCCAAAAACTGTTTTCAGTGTTCGGGTTTTTACATAACTAAATATTCAGTAAGTCCTCAGCTAATGCCAGAGTATCTTAGGAAGCAAAGAACAAACATTCTCTTCAAAAACAGCATCAATAGTAATATGACAAATAATAAGCTCATACTGTATTTATCTATGTTTCACATTCAGATGCCTTTATTCTACGGCCCAGTACTTTTTTACAGCTTTCTCTACATCGCTAAAAACGAGCACAAGGAACTTACAGAACTGTTTCTTTCCTCTGCTGTAGAGGTAAGCCTGTCTGCTGAGTCACTGCCCTGAAGACTTACAAGAAGATATACCAGCATCATTTGCTGGAATATTATACTTAGCATCCTGCTAACTTTAATGGTAGCAGGAAAATCACTCTTTTTAAAAATGGGGCAAGAAACTGGACTGGGAGGGAGAGGTGAAAGACTGAAAAATAACATCCCTCTAAATACCTCACATTAAACACCTGCATTTGTTTATACAAAAAAAGTCTTTTTCATGGAGCAACAATGCAGGTTTTAAATGGCAATGTAAATTTAATAAATGTGTCTCCTAAGAGCTGCTATCAACAAAATTATGCTTCAAAAGGAGCTTGAAGAATTGTATTAGGTATTTGGGAAGAGGAATAATACACCTTCTTCCCCAATAGGTTTCCTTAGGAAACTGAAGGAATAGAAGTCAGGTATTTTCTCCCCTGAATGGCAAGACTGTTTTTCCCTATTTTATTTCAACTTTAAAAGCAGCTCATTTTTGAAAGGCAGAGACAGCAAACCACATAAAGCAGCAAGACAGAGGCAAGGAAACTAAGAGACATTTCACATGGGAAAAGACAGCACACTCTCATCTCATATCCGTTGATCACTGTTCCCTTCCCTTTACCCACTGCTTTCCATGGTTGTGTGCACAGGTTTTATTCTGAAAAATGCAGGAGTCAACAGGCATTACCTGGGCTCCCACTTCACACGCATCCAGCTACACCCAAAACTTGTATGTATTTTCTAGTCAACTATTCATGAAGTGGAGAAAAAGCATGTTTTATCCAAGAAACACAGATTTTCATGCTTTGTAAGAAGATTAAAAGTGCTAATATAAAATAATGCTTAATAGGAAAAGCTGGTAACAAACCCTTGTGCCAGCTGTATGAAAAATAAGCCAAGAAGTTATTACTGAAGTTCAGGAATACGTTGGACTCTGGTCCAAATCTACTTTTCAAAACCCAATCAAAGTCTTTTATAAAGAGCATATCACTCCCACATTACCTCATTAAGATCCGTATTACTTACTAGTTCAACAAATACAATCCTCTCTGTCTCAGTAGTATTTCATTCCTGCCATTTCACCCAAACTTAATATTAAAATCAGAGGTTTTACTGTAATCTTTCCACCATTTACTGGCTTTTGACAGAGTGGACAATAATATTTTGTAAATTAAAGGATACACAATCAGGTTGGACCCTAACTTTATAACACAGTCTAATCACAAGACAGGAACAGAATGATTAGGAATGTGGCCATTTAGCATTTCATATGAACAAGAATTTCCCACATCTGCTGTGTACTCTAGCTTGAAGAATTATGTGGCTGCACTTAGGTTATAACTTGAGGTAAAATCCAGCATAGAGACCTGCAGAAGAGACAGCCAGCGAACCTTCGAAGACCTTCCTCTTATCAGGGATTTTCTCCACAAACTGGACTCCTGACTGGTCTGAGCCTTTGATCTGCACCTATGTTTTGGCTTTTGATCTAGGATTTTACCCCAGGCCAGTATCTCCACACACACAGGTTTTCTGAGGCTCTCAACATGTGTCTGACTGTGGCACCAGCTAAAGCAGGCAAAACACAGCCCTGCACACTTTCAGCCCTGACCTGTTCTTTATAAAATTGAGCAAGGAGTGGTTAAGGCTCTGCCACCATCACAACAGGTGAGTATTTTTATCAGTAGCTGATAAACAGACCACACTACAGCTCCTCACTGCATCAATGGGGCTACTGCTAGGACTAAGCACTGCCACACTGAAACAAATGTTTCCAAGATATTTCTAGAACATAGGGGAAACATACTTGGTCTCCACAATCCTGGGAAAGAAACAAAGAAAATCTTTACTGAAGGTGGTAGATTGACCTTTAGATTACAGATAGGAGATGGTTTAACTTAAAGTAAGAAAAGTACAGATCAGATTGCTGCTTATTTTACAGTCAAACATCAAACACCATCTCTTCATAGTTCAAGTAGCTCAATTTATCCTGGAAAAGCAACAACTGATTCTCCTATAAAATCGGTATTTCTATTTTATGGAGTGGTTTAGTACTAAATCTCATGCATCATAAATAAGTCTCAGACAGGTGATAATGATCTCATATTTTTATTCAAACAGAAGTACTATGCCATGGTGATGGAATTGTATTTTGTAATTGGATTACAGAAGTAGTAATTAAAATATACAACTGGGGTAAAAAAGATGAAAAATTATGGCCTTACTCCTTGGGTTTATATTGAGCAGGCAGATTGTCATCCTGCCACAAAGCTGTTAATATTATCACTTAATTAACTAATGCTAGTATCTCCATAATGAGTTTTATACTCTGATGAGAAAATTATACAGCTTAGGTATGATGCTAGTATTAAACACACAGAAAACATTAATACAAAAATTTAGATGCTATCAGATTTCTGGAGGCAAGTATATGATATAAAATGAAGTTTGCAACAGCCATACCTAAATCTCCAGCAGATTTGATGTCAATATTATCAAAACCGCTGCCAATTCGGACAATTATTCGAAGTGCTTTAAATTTCTCCAGGTCTTCTCGAGTTAAAGTTATAGTGTGATACATCAGTGCACCCACTGCTTCATTTAGTACCTATAAATAAAATAGAGGAAAAAATACTTAATTTTTTTTCTTTCACAGAATCTCAACTTAATATCATACACATATTTTCAAGTATAAAAGACAGTAAAAGCATTAAAGACAGATTCTGGGCTTTTTTTAAAGGTTATTTCTCCAAATATCTCCCAGCCTCTTGGTAAGCCTTTTTCATCTGAAGTCTCCATTCTAGCATGATGGCATCAGCTTTAAAAGAACTAAGTGATCTGTACTTGTGGTCTTAATGAGAGGGAAAACTCTCCTCATTCCCCAGCAAATGCTCTGCAATACTGACCCCAAGTACAAGTGCCACTGGACTGCATCTGCACACACAGAAGCAGCACAACACAGGAGCAAACACTCCCCACAAACAGTGAGTATTTTATGCTTAGGCAGCTGACATTCAGCTTTGAATGGAGTTACAGAGCAGTATCTCTTCACAAACACAGTGCTACAGGCATTCACTGCCCTATTAAACCACTTGATACCTGAACAGAAAACATTCAGTGATCACCTTCGAAAACAGAGACTGAAATTGGTCAATTTACACACAAGTGTTTGCCCCTCTGTTTACTGACACTGCGAATAAGCTCTCACTGATGGAAAACTGGATGTGACATAAATTCGTATTAACTGAGATGTCAAACTTGACGTCATTCAGGAAAATCCAAAGCCTCTGAGAAATAAGAAATTGCATGAAAGCAAAAATGCTGCAGAAAAAATCCTAAAACTTGTGAGAACATCAAAAAAGCAAAAATAAAAGATAGTCAGAAGCCTCTGACAAGTTAAACTATGTTAGAGTCCAACCTAACAAGTTAAATTACGTTAGCATCCAACCTACTCCAGAGCACTTAAGAAGGGGTGTGGAGAAGGAAGCCAATCATGCCCAGCAATTTTGAATTCTACCAAACAGTGACACTGCACCCCAAACAGCTGACATAAACTTATTTTTCAGATAGCAGAAAATATTTTCCTCTTTATATGAAAATTGCATGATTTTACTTCTTCAAAGCACTTCACTGTGCTTGTGCCTTCAATGCACTAGCTAATATCCTAATCGTTCTACAAGACACAAAACATGCACAAATCATTTCAGTAGCTAAGCCAGCTGTAATGATTTCAAGAGATTCCTACAACACACTTCACACAGAAGTTCTGCAGAGGCTCTACATTTCTTATTCAACAGACCTTTGGGTCTGGTACATGGACAGATTCTGTCATCTGAATTATTTCTGCTCATATGAGCAATTCCTAGTGTACTGCAAGGTCAGTAAAAATAATCAACATACGTAGTTTTAAAAAAACTATTGCAGCAAAGCAGAATCTTGCATGCAGAGGATTATAATTGCTGGAACCCAGGATCTGCAGCAGTGCTTAAAATATATGAAGAAAAAAAAATAAAAGAAAATAAAGCCAAACTCCATAAAAATGAAAGAAAAGCACTCATTACTGAATACTTCATAAAATTATTTATACTATTTCAACATGTGTTTCTGGACTGAGAAGTTCAGTTCTAATTCAGATAAAGACCAAGTTCCTTTGAGCAGAATTTGCATTTACTAGTAAGAACTGCAAAAAAAATTACAAATTACACATCCTTCAAGAATGCAGCTACAACATAATTCAAAGACCAGCTGTAGGCTCTGATCTTATAAAATGATTACACACACACAAAACCCCTTGATTTTAATGGTGCAAACAAGTCCTTTAGAGATTAAATCCAACAGTTCCCAATCAGAAAGACTGCACTCACCAGAATGTGTTACCTAGAGCTGTTACACAGGGTTAATAAAAACCCAACATAGTTTGTTGGGTTTGCTTCTCCAGTGAGATTACAGCTGGCATGGACCAAGCCTGAGGTACCCTACACAAGAAATAGTCTCTCTTAGGATGAGAGAGCCCACCTAACCTGCCCTTAGGTTATTTCTGCTCCCACTAGAGGATGAAATAAAATCGTTCAAGGATCTCCCAGCCTCAGTGATGTGGAACTTTCTTCAAAGCCAGTTGCAGCACTTGCTGCTTCAAGCCTCAAGGTCAAGTTATGATATCCTGGCTGTCTCCAACAAGCCATGTCCCCTATTCTGTGTTGCATCATTTATTTTCCCCCGCCCCCTCAAGGTTGCTCTGGATGACTGTGCTGTAGGAGAAAACATCACTTGGTTTAGCTGTCAGATGAGCAAGAACTGAAGAAGCTTAGAAGTTTCAAAGACACACCCCTAAGGCTCTGTGAAGCCAGAGGCTCCTCTCCCAGACTGGAAAAGTCCAGTGGTGGGTGTATTCTGGGGGGAGCAGAGCTGCCACCACTTTAAGGACTGCATCCAGCAGGGGTTAAAGCACAGCTGAACTGGCTCAGACATTTGTGCTTTAGTATCAGAGTAATTCACTCAGGGAAGCAGATTTTCGTTTCGTAATCATGCATATTTTATTAGCTCGTCCAGTCAAGACTGGCATTTGGACTCTAAGAGCACTGGTGTGGACCCATTACAACACGTTTTTTGGGCCCATCTAGGTTATGGCTTGGCACCAGGAGGAGACAGAAAAGTACTGGAAAGCTTGGGAATGTGTTCAATAAAAGGGAAAATATTTCCCAGCTATAGCTTAATGCTGACACTAGGCATTTCCACAGGCAGTTATTTACCCATCACACGGAATATGAAACAAGCAAATGCAAGTGACAAATCTTTTAGAATTTCTTTCTAGTCACTAAGCCTCCCCTAGGATTATGGGCTAGTTAGAAAGGAAATCCACTGCTAAAAACGTAATACCCTACAAGAGTGTTTTATAACATTAATTTGATAATTTAATTATTTTACTGCTTTTTGCTACTGGACATGATTGAAATAGGTCAAAAAGGCAGAATAGCAGAAAATCTGAAGTAAACATTCAGCATTGGTGAATGTTAACAATGCCACTTAGATTAAAAAAGTAGTGAAAGTTGCTGTATTTTGGAATTGTTTGCATAAATTATATTCTCATTCATTACATATATTAAATGCACACAAGGAAGTTTGACAAGTTTTTCAATCCAAGTTTATCCAGCATAAGTATCAACAATTCCAGAAAATGAAATTATCTTTAGAAAAAAAAAAGCTGTGCATAGAAGTAATTCACTGATGATTTAACAGCAGAGATGGATGCATTGAGAAAATCAGGGAAAATACGTGATTTTTCTCCATCATTTTCCATAATGAACCTGATGGAATTTTTAACAAATTCAAGAACAGTTTTATTACAAGGAGATCAAACTTGTGAGAGAGGTAGCAGACAAGGCAGAAATTCCAGACCAGTTGGAGTATATGGCAGTCAGACCATGCTCTTTGATGATTTCTTGCAAGGAAAGGCAATGGAAAAACCTGACAGAAAATGAGCAGAGTCAGCTGTGTTCCTCTAACAGCCATTCTTGCTCTCATCACACTGCAACTGTGCTCTCTGGGAAGAAAGGATCTGAGGCAAAAGCTGAAACATGGGACATAAGCTGGCTTCCTTCTGTTACCAAATGATTATGTAGCTCACCTGCCTGATTTCTGCGCCTTCACACTTCCTTCCAGGTGAAGCTACAATTCACTGCTGAGAGTCTTTTTCATTCCCTATTCCATGAGCTAACAGCTTTACCCTTCACAACAGCTTGGACAGGTCTTTCTGCTGTTCTTCAGCCTCAAAATGACTACTCTGCTTTCACAACACGCCAGGTCACCAAGGCTCTTAGGGAACAGATGACACAGTAGTAGGAGACATTTCTATTTCCAAGAATTTAACAAATCCTGAGTACTGATTACCCAAAGTTGAAATCCTTCTAAATGTTTTCCCATCTACGTTTTCCCTCCTTCTTTCAGCACCACACTATTTTAGCCATCATGCCAAACGTCACACAGTCACCACCGTGACACACACATCTCATTATTTGGGGAAGAACTCGAAGCCTCTTGCTTACTTTGACAAAAATGTGTATCATAAGATGCTAAGAACTCCACAGCAAGGCCTCCTCTTCTTGGAGCACATCAAGACACTTCTAGATTTGACTATGAGAGGCTGAGCCCAGACACTCATGGATCAGATCCAGAGCACAGAAACATAACACAGTACACGAAGTGCCAAACTACTTCATGCTGAGACAAAAAAAATTTATAAATTACAAGTTGAATATGACAAGGTATCCATCTTAAAAACAAAAATCATCACTAGAAAGTGCTGTATTTAATCTGGTTCTAGAAACTACGAAGTGTTGCATTTCTTGGACTTGAAGTTTGATGTATCATCTCTAAAAAAAACATGTTCCAATGTCACCAACAGACTTGAGATATTTTGCACATTTGGGTGGAACAAATGTACTTTACCGAAACGGAGTAGGCCTTGCCTTATTTAACTTGCAAAAAGCAGCTCCACGTTGAATTTGTAACCAATAGTCTGTCACATGGGGAAGGCTGCAGAGACTCAGAGCTCCTCTCAAAGCCTCCCTACAACACTACAAAAGGTCCATGTGAAACCAACGCCATTAAAGCTAAAAAGAAAAGCCAGAGTGCTCAAGTGGTATTTAGTGGCTCTCCAAAGCTGTTATATTGTGTTGCTTTTTACAAGTTCTTGCTTCTCTTTACAAGCTCACAGCTCCCTGTTAGGTTCCTATGATCCATGGTGCTGTCAGTAAGCCACCTATTTCATATAAACTTTACTCAGCCAGGATACTCTCTAGTGAGGACCCTAAACATTAATACTTAAGTTTATACTGTCCATAAATACAAGTATAAATATTTTACACAAACATAAACAAAACTTACTTGCAGGCTCCTGAAAACACACTCACTAAAAGCCTATATATCCATACACTATATATATATATGTGACATATATGTATGATAGTGTATTTCTAGTCTTCTAAAAATTAACATTAAACAATATATACATACAAATAGACACTACATAAAAAAACCTGTATAGTCTATACACAGTTTCCTTTTAAATACTATATTGAAACTAGTCTTTCCAAGCCTGGATTTACTGACCATGCAGTTTTAATGACAGAAGTCAATTTGAGAATACAGACTCTTGAAAAACATTTTTACCAAATAAAATGCTTCAATGAAAAATCTTTAACAGGAGTTCTGTGTGTTAGTTTGTCTATTAATAGTGCTGAATTGTGTCTATTCATAAGGTTGAATTCCGGCCAAGTCTATCAGACACTACAGTGGATTAAACATCTAAACCAAAGGATATTATGGAGTTATGGAAGTCACTGGTGACAACTCAACCCAGTTTTTTCCAAAGTCTTTCATAAAGAGTCTGATCCAAAGTTCATTCAGTTTCAGTACTTTTACAAGGTTTTGGATCAGCTCCGAGGTGACAATTTACTCCTAAACAGACGTTATTGTTTAGAACAAGGCTGCTTCCTTTCAATCTGTGTTCTTTGAGAATTTAAATCTGATGGAGAACTAAAATGCTTCAACTACATCATGAATATAAACAGCAGTGATGGTGTAAACATAAGCTTTACTGCTAAACAAAGAATTGGAAGCTTGAAAAATTACCTCACTTAACCATTGCTGTAACAGGGACAAATCAAAGAGCTGAACAACAGCACCATTCTGAATTTGTTTCTATCAGTTTTGAAACATTTGTCACTTTTCAGCTCCTCTTTGACAAGGTCTTTGATAAAATTGCCATCACTAGAACTGTTTTCTACATTTAATTCCTATGTGACTGAAAAATTTCAAGTTCTGTTGAACAGGAAGTTCAGCTTTAATTTTTTTTTTTTAACTTAAAACTACAAATATGGAAATGCAGTATCCTTTTGAAAATTATTTTATGTTATGCTCAGAAAACAGGAGTGAATGGATCTGACACATTCTGCCCCAATCTCTGCTAGGGCTGGGACACAGGTTAACCCAACAGACTCTGTTCCCACCTCCATCCAAGGACTACTCACTGCTCTCATCAACGTTCTGTTCAACTGTGTAAATGCTTGAAGCTGTAAACCCAGTCAACCACAGACGTTTTTCTTCTACCTGATTTACAACAAGATGTAGGAGAGCACATAATTACAGAAAAAGAGAATGAAAAAATGTACTCAGCTGCAAATAAACTCTTGACTTCTTTCCAGCCTGTATATTTTGTTTTAAAGACCATTCCTAATCAGTTGTGCTTCCTGTCTTTTCATCTGGGTTTGCAAGAATCACTGTTTTCTGTCTTCTTGGTTGAGATGCCTGCTTATTTCCAGCTCTTGCACATTGTTTACATTTATCCCTCTCAATCTACTCAGCACTTCCATGTTACAGAACACACAGCAAAGGTCAGGAAGCCCAGAAAGCAAAGAACATGAACTCAAAAAAATCTTGGGCAACACAAAGACCTCAAGGGTGTGCTTGAGTCTTTTATGACTTTATAGGTACAGAAGTGGAAAAGAGCAGCAATACTGCAGGAATCAGAGTGCTGGGTAGGCTGCCAAGGAGCCAGGAAAAGCAGCAAACTGTGAATGGCACGGAAATGAAGAGGGATTGGGAAAAGGAGGCAAACAGACAAGGGAGCATGAGATAGTGAAAAAAGAAAAGTTGACCTGGAATGAGGATGGAATCAAGCTAACTGTTTTTAAATAATTTTTTTGGATGAACAACTGTATTTTTTGGCAGAACAAACCAAAACACTGTATACACTTGGAAGAAGTCTTAGATAGTTACTAAGAGAACTTATTTACACATCATTAATTGTAAAATAAAAGCCAATTTAAGCACTGTGAGTAACTTTTGTAGACAGTAATGCAATCTCTAGTAAGAAATTTAAACACTGAAATCTTAAAATATTTTTACCCTAAATGACAGAAGTTTTCTGATAGGATGCAATGAACCGAACTCCCAGTTATGCCATGATAAGAGTTTGACAAACGTAATGCTCAACTTCACACAGCCATATGCAACATCTACAATAAAACAGAACTTATGGGTTAAGGGATAAAAACATCTATTGCAGCCTTGCAGACTGGCTTGAAAATAAACAGTTTTTTCTTGAGAGAATGGAAAACAGAAATCAAAAACCAGCAGAACCTTACACATGAGTAAATTCTGAAGAAGTGTGATAAATATCCTCTTAACTACAAAGTTATTTCAAAACGTTGGGTCACTCTCAGTAAACGTCAGTATTCATTAAAGCACTGACAGCCTGATTTTCCAGAAGGAGGGAAATTTATCTTCACCATCAAAATTGCTTTCCAAAGCAGTGGAATGGGGAACAAATGCTTTGACCTGAGATGAAACATAGTTCTACTACATGTAATTATTTATTTGCAACATTACAACTTGTTACTTATTTTCCACAGTTTAATCTCCTCAGCCATAAAAAGTGATTGACAGATGAACACTTGGCAGAAGGGAATTGCTACAGAACTGCAACTCAGGCATTACCCAGTTGAAGAAAACTTCTTGAAGGAGAACACACAGTAAGGTATTTCCTAAAATCCTGCTTTTGACCCTGTACACAAATGGCGTTCATCCTCGCTTCTTTTCCACCTTTCTAGATGTGTTAAAATCTCTCAGCCTGCTTGCTCCTCTATGAAGAGCTACCTAGCTTATACTATGCTGTCTCACAAGCTGTGATAAATTCCCCTTCCCACTCTATTTCCTTGAAAAACTGAAAACACAATATTTTAAAGAACTGCCTTGTCCCTGAAACTCTCATGACCAGCAGAAAACCCTTCTGCAGGTTCCAAAATGTTAATTTCTCAAACTCTGACTCCTCACAACCCTGTGATCAAGGCTCCACAACTGTGCAAGCTGAGTTAAAATATCTATCATCAGAAGGATGTTTCCTAGACATCCTTCTGCTGTCTTTCAGACCTTTCCTCCCCATCTGATTCTTGGTTCATGTCTTTCCCCCTGCCCCATTACTGTCACCCACCTAGGAGTATCAAACAATGTCAATCACCTTTCAAACCCCATACTAAACTTCCCAGCCTCTGGCTTGCTCCCTGCAACTTCACATTAAATGTATCTGTATGTGCTAGGCTATTAATTCAGTAGCCCTTCCTAATATCTGTTATCAAAATCTGCACTTCAACTAACAGGGCAACATCATTTAGTATGGTCACAAATGCACATTCTTAAATACGTGAACATTCTTGATTCTGTTTTAAATATGCAGCTCTTTATTTTATAACCTTTTGTGAAAACAATTTTATATTTAGCAAAGTACCATTCCTAAATAATGTATTATTCAAACAGTACTAAAAACAAATATTCCTCTAAACATAGGTAAAAAATAGTCATTTTTCAGTACAGATGAACAGTGAACAGTTTTCACACAGAAGTGAACAGTGCTTAACACATCATAAAACTGATCTCTCAGTCTATGTTAGAGGAATAGAACAGTATGATAATGAATTAAGGTTTGACTTTTTCATAGAAATTTATTACCTTGGAGATCCAAATGTTTTAGGACTATCTCATCCTTTACACAAGCGAAAATCTGTATTATGGCACTGCACTGATAGGTAGTGAAAATGTATTGTCCTGATGTATTACTGATATCATTGAGAATTAATTATTTTTGTATAATAAAAAGCAAAGGATGCAAGCCTTAGTATAATCCCACCAATACAGCAGTGCTGTGAAGATCAGTAACAGATTACCTATGTCACTCATCAGTTATTCAAATACTTTTCCAAACCTGCAATGTGAGAGACACACACTCAATCTTAGGATCTGAAAAGTTCATTTATTACACGCCACTGCTAACAGAAAATATCCATTGCTTTTATGCAAGGCATTCATGGCACACAGGAATTCCCCAGTCTAGATGCACCATAAGTAAGTGATGTTGGCTTTAGTAAGCAAACCATAAAACTATACAGGTGGCGCAGTAGCCAACACTACAGTGTTCACCTGAAGAGCAGACTGTTCTTATCTACTAATAAAAGTAGAACAGCATTTATAGTACTTATTCTTCATGTGTCATTTAGTCCTTGTACATGGAATTCATCTATTGACTCCTAACAGTGGTGTGAAATAGGAAAACAGTAAAATAAAAGCAACTTCTCAACATGATTAAAATTAAATACACAGAAAAAAGGCACTCTATCGCATTTTAATTCTTGATATATAATAAAAAGGAATTGAGGAAAAAAAGCTTGGGTTTCCTTTAAATAAAAAAAAACTCCATATATTTTCTTTGAACCTTAAATTAAGTTTTATTTTATTAAAAATCTCAATAAACATTATCTTTGTAGATCCATTATGAATGAAGACCGAGAAGTTTTCGATTCCTTTAATGTGTTCTCAAGTTAGGCTGACATTCACTACATTTTCCATGCAAATTTTGGGTTAGCATTTGTTTTGAAGCTCTTCTGCAGTGATAATTCTCAGTGCACGAGGCTGCCTAACAACCTGCACAATTCCTTGACTAAACAAAGGAATCAGAAAGTTACCCACACAAACAATCCAGTACTTGAGATTTGTCTTTCCAGGCAAAGGCTGAGCAACAGAAATGTTTCCAAGGAGCACTTCAAGTTATCATCTGAGAGTATTTTGCCCAGAATTAACTCTCTCCATGAATCTAATTCAGTAGGGAAGCAGAGGGACAACATCCAAGGACACACTAAAGCACAGCTCACCACAGACACTGTAATACACATCACACGTTCTAAATCATTAAAATTAAAATATTTGCATTTCCTAAAACATCTCAGTTGTCCCTCTTATAAACATTACCTTTTCATGAATTTCTTGTGTAGACTGAGCATCACAAAATGCCACTGTGGCTACATCCTTCAGAATAGGCATTTCTACTGTACAGTCCCTGCCATCCAGCAACGCTACCAAAGGGCGCGGGTGCATGGGCCCATTCATGATCGGAGGTCGAATGCCTGCAAAGAAACAGAGAAGACTTGTTATTCAGGCTGTGCAAATGGGATTAAAAATAGGTTATAGCTAGTCTTGTTTATTCTGATGGCAGAAAAAGATTTCAAGGACTGAAGCTAATAAAATAGGAATGAGTTTACACTCAGCTGTCAACCAAACACAGAAGACCTTACAAAGAAACTCCATGGAGGTTCAGAAGGCTGAACTCTGAAGGATGGATAAACCCACTGAGGGAACTACTTGTTTTTTAAAGGTATATCCTTACTGCACTAATAAGAAGTGTCTGTGCAACCTTATTCAACCTTTAGGTTTTGATTGGATTCCACACCTTTGTCAGCTCTAGAAAGAGTGAGAAATATCTTGCCCAGGCTTGCAAGAAGACTGGAGCTTATGGAATATCATAAACAACTCAGTGAGGATTTGAGTATTCAATTTACATATATAATGATGATTCTGCTGAGACTAAAGTTTAACTTCAAAAAGCCTACAACAGCAAAGTTTTCCATTTACTGAGAATCCAGTGTCCAAGTTTACAGGCAAATTGCTGATCTATGGAGGTCTGCTTAAAAAGTTTTACCTAACAGTTCTATATAGCTTAGTCAAACACATCATACTTAATCCACCACTGAAAACTCTTACAAAACATTAAAAAATATCCCCCCCTAAATCAATGTCACACTCCAAACACTGTAGAGTGACAAAGAAATTCACACCAAATATCTGGGAGAAGAAAAATCAGTCCAAACTGAAGACTTCATTTGCATCCTCTTTACAGAGTCTGGAAATGAAAAATAATCTGTAAGATATTTAGAGAGCATCTCTTTAACAATACAGATGCTATAAATACACTGAAGTACTCAAGGGAATAATATTAAACCATTACATTTACAAAATGTAGTTAAGCATGGGTGGGAAAAAGGACTTCCTGAGGAGATAATGAAAAGCAAAATGAACAGTAAAGTACATGATCTTTCTCCTCTTTTAGAATAAAAAGTTTTAAGCACTGCAAAGTGAATCAAGCTAGATATTTCTTGTATATAAATTTCAACACATATTTTTGGTGCAGTGTAAATTTTAAAACACTGCTTATTGTGGGTATGGAGGAGCCCACTGGGCCCGAGATCCTGGCTCTTCCCTGGAGAGGAGATACTTCTCTGTAAGAGAGACACAATGTGTCGTTCCCAGGGGTCTTTGAGTTAGATATGTTAAACTGTTGTGTTTCATTGGTGTTCTCCCCTGCTGTCCCACCCCTATACAGGTATCTCGGGCTTTCCCCCCGCCCCTCTCCTTCCCCATAAATACCCCGGATTTTCCCCTGTTTGGGAGATTCGCTGTTGCCGGAACCCTTCACCGAAGCTCTGCCTGAATAAAGGCTTGTGCCTTGGTGGAACGCTGGACCAGCTTTCTCGTCCCTGCTTCCTGTGTCGCCTGCCCGCCGCCACCGCTGCCGAGCTGAAATCACTCAACTACTACTGAGCTGAGCTGGAATCACTCGACTGCTCGAAGCTGCTCACACGCGCTTTGGACCAGCCTCTCTCAAGGCTGTGTCTCTAGAGAAGTCACGGTGCTCCGGGCTTTCTGTCGCCGCGGCAACTTATTTGCTTGATAGTCCAAGTTAGTCCAACACCAATGCAAATCACTGAGGTCCCCCAGTTAACTTCTACAAGCAGTTGCTGCATCTTAAGTCCCAATGTCAGAAAGCAAGTCCTGAAAGACTGGTATCTGCATTTCAAGAGGACGGAAAAATCAGTAGAATCCCAGCTGTACAAGGGATCTGGTGAAGAAAACCAGCTGCTGGGGAGAGAGATTTTTCACAACTCCACAAAAACAGCATATAATTACCCCCTGGGTCCAGTCTCAGGTCTGGGGCTGAAGGACAGCTCCAGAGACTGCTGCCTTCACAGTCCCTTTCAGTGGCCTAGCCTGAACCCAAAAATTCCATGTCCACTCCTAACCAACTCAGGATAGCCCTGCTGCAATGTGGCACTTAAATTCTTTACCTATTTGAACAGTTCTTATACCTGAAGACAAGAGAACAACAGTCACAACATTTGGATCTTTTCTGTTCTAATTCCAGAATCTCCCCACATCTGGTGATACCAATGGACTGACTGACTCTGAAGTACTCTCACCATTTTTCAGATGGGAAAAAATACCCATCAGCGAAGTTTTCCATGGAAATTACACTCTGTTGCAAAAACATCCACTCCTAACCTCTCCTATGATAGAGAAGCTTAGAAATGCTTCTGGTGCATGTTATTTCAGTAATATTCAGCCACTAAAACTAAATGGGAGACAATACGTAATTTTTTTAAACTCTGCATCTTGATAGCTTACTATTGATACTTGTCTGAACCAAAAGTGGCCACAGAACCATCATACAGATGTTTTTAGTAAACAAGCTACATACCAGAAATGTGGTACAGGACACAAACACTAGAATATACAACATAAAAATACTTAAGTTATTAATGGAACAATTAGATTATTTAATAGGGATTTAATTATAAAACTCCACATTTATTTACTTAAAAACATCCAAGGATAAAGCATATTATAGACTTGTTCACATATTTTTGAAAACAGTATATATAACAACATTAATAAAATGCAATTACGCCTAAAAATAAATGCAAAAATGACATTGCAAAACCTCTCCATTTTGCTTAGAGTTAACTGTGCTCACTCAATAACTGAAATGTTATGGTCTTGGTCTTGCAAGCACAGCAAAGCCAGAAATTCAGTAACAATTCTAGCTAAAATAAAATAAATTTAAAAAAAAACAAAACAACAACAAAAACCCAAATCAAACCAAAAAACCCCAAAATCCAAACAAACAAAAAAACCCTGAAACAACTGAGAAGTTTGAGACTGAAGGCTATTGCAGATGAATGAGGAAAAATATGGCACAGGTGATCCCCTTAGAGCTACAACTAAAGCACCTCTGTCAACAGCAGAGCACATAGTTCAAACTGAAAAAAGCAGATGAGATTATAAATTCTTACTTCTAAGAAACACTTTTCTGACTAGAGCTATCTCAAAAAAAAAAAAAGAAATGTTACAGCACTAAACAGAGCCCTTTCAGATAACGTTTTCTCTAAAATACATAAAGGCGTGGTCTGATTTTTCCCTCACGCCAGTATATCTAAATTTCAACCAAGTTATTTGTGTAACATTGGTGCTAAGGGGAATGCCAGACCAAGCCCCAAAGCATAGGAACAGAAGTCAAAAAACAACCAGAAGGACAAACCCTCCCTGAGAGGATCTAAGCCTTTGTTAAGAATCCCCAGAACTGAAATACATCCAGTGACCTTGACCATAAAAACCCCACAAACCTTTGCTTGCCAAAATCCTCTCTGAACTTCAGCACAGACTTCCTGTTGCACAATCTTTCTGCCTAAATATCCTGCCACTGAATGGCAGGCAGTAACTCCCCACTTAGGTTAACTTCCAGGAACTTCATCACAGTGACAGTCACTATTTAAAGTTCACATTTGGGAAGATATGGCTTTACTGTGATTCAGAACCTTTTGAACAAAAAGCTTCCTCTTCCACCATTGAGATACGTCCTAGTTTTTATCTAGAAATGTCACACTGCACCGTGCCTTTGGCTTTGCAGGAGACCCTCAGAGAGGCAGCAGAAAGCAATGTGTATTTAAGAGTAGTATTTTCCATGCCTGTATTTACAGTGAACAATGCAACTCTGTGCCAGAGAGAAGTAGCTGTGAAGTGGTCAGAAGCGACATTCAACATGACAAACGTGAAACTGATTCAAAATAATAATTTCACTTAGCTGGCTTATTTAAATATTATGGTATAGCATTTCATATTACACAGGTAACAAAAATTTTACCATCCACCCCCACATCCTACAACTTTGTTATGGGAAAACAATCTCAGTTTATCCTAACTAAAGACTTTCAGGAACCCCTACCAACCTGACATTTCTTAATCTGAGCTTGATTTCCAGGGTCATGAATTCGATTTCTCAATGCTTTACAATCTTCAGTATTCTGAGGCAAAATAGCAGCCTGTCATTCCATCCTCATTTCCATGTCCTTAATTTTTCTTGCAGCCTCCTGTAATCTTGAACCAAATCTTTTATACTTCTTATCCACTGCAACCTCTGTAGCCTGGATGATGTTCAAATTTTTACTAAAAATTAAACACAAACAATACATTAAAACAACATTAAGGGTCTGACTCGTGCTCACAGAAGGTAGGAAACTCAAAGTTAAAGCTTCTCACTGCATCCGTACCCTTCCCCCAATGGTTGCTGGCTTTCCACCACAACTGCTGTGCTGCCACTGGCCATTAACATTCCAGGGAAACCAGTGGAGTGTTAAGACACACACGGCACCTTGCTCAGGACAGCAGGTGTGTTGTGAATACACCTACCTGGACCGGTCGGCAGCACTGACACAGCCCAGGCTTTGCCTGGGTGAGCAGGGATCCAGGGATAGCATGTGGGCTCCAAAATGCCTGTGCTGGAGGGCCAAGCGCTCCAGTGGGTACCAGAGATGGAGTGAGAAGCCTTAACTCTGAACTTGATGGTTTTGCTGGGTGTAAGTCAGGCCCTTAAGGTTATCTAAATGTATTAGAGAAAAAAACCTAACACTTTCCCAATAGTTCTAATCCAGCTGTTAGTCTGGGGTTTCTGCCCTGTCCCCATATGGAAATAATCTGGTGGGAAAGCTCTTATCCCAGTAACAGCTACTGTGCCAGTGGCTGCTGGAATTTTTCCAAATTAATAGCAGGTATAAGGTGCAGAGACAGACAGAGCAGCTGTCCTAAGGCAGAAGCTATTCACCATGTGGCTCACAGCACAGTGCCTTTGCACAGCTGCAGTCTGGACTACCTCTCCTGGAAAAAAAGCCTATCAAAACCTTATTCTAGTCCAACTCTTACGGAAATAAACTTGGGAATTGAAAAACCAGTTTTCAGCTGCAGAACCTGAGAGGAGGTCAGCCCTGTGCACAACTGACTGTTGGTCCCACAAACAAGGGGATTAATGAGCTCATCATCCAGCTTCGCAACCAAAACAGGAATGGAAGGGCCATAAATTATTTTACCTCCACACCTATGAAAGCATGGGGAGTTACAAGTGATCACACCAACCTTAGCACAAAATGTATTTTCTTCACCTGGGAAGAAGCCACCTAAGCAGGGTAGCGTCCTCCTCCCTCCCAAATCCAACCTGCATCTCCTGGTCCTTAAACAAAGGTGCATTGTTTGTGCTACACTCCAAGGGGGAAGAAGCCATTGCCATTAGGCAAACTCAGGACTGCAGGGTAAGAAAGTTCTCCCTGACATAATCCAGGCTGTTAAATTGTATTTTAAACTTTTTGTAAAACAACCTTTTATGGTACAAAATGACAGTAATTGAAGCAATCACTCTGCCCAAATACCAGACATCACAAAGTAGGCTGCTACGGTTTATTGACAATAGAAAATGTACTAAAATGCAAAGCTATCAAGATTAATGATGAAAAACGTAATTTTCATATTTTTCTACTGCTGATTAATGTAATATCATTAGGCTGAGGAATGTCTCATATACGGCATAAATGTTGTAAGTAAAGGACACTGTCAGGTTTGTAGGCCCAAAACTTGACCTACCTTTCATTTCCTTAAATCTGTTTGCAAAGTCCATGTAATTCATTAAATGTGTTTTTCTTTTTTCAAAACAAATCCTTCAATTCTTTTTTCTGAAAAATACATCAATGCCAAAAAGCACAACATTTATCAGTAACCCTATAATCACAAACCAACAGGCACATGAAATGGTGGAGAGCAGCCTGGCAAGAGCTTTCCTGTCACTGGGGATTCTTACAAGTGCAAGGATTAAATAAGGAAGAAAAATCCCTTGACAATGTCCTTTTCAAAGAATTTGTGGTAAAAAAAACTTCCTTTATACATAATAAAACATCTAAATTCCTTACTTTTTTAACAAAATGCAAACTACTGACAAATCCTGTCAATATTTACAAAAACGAGACCTGAAACCGACAGGTTGGGCATTCAACTAATTTATTGTCTTGCACATGTAACATGAGACTAACCCCTTTGGCATTTACCTTTATTTTATATTCTTACCTAGGTGTAAATTCAGTGAGAGCTGTCACTTATTTTCCATAAACTCTCACAAAAATGTGCATTGTTTTCAAAAATAAATGCTAATATTAATTCAAGGAAAGAATGAGTTGTCAAAACAAACAAGAAATATCCTCCTCATAACATGAACACAGAAGCTGTTATGAATTAGATTTCCCAATATACACTATTAAAATTCCTAGAAGCCCCATACTTGAAAACTTATTTTAAGGTTCCTGACCAATCTTGCATTTTTACATTTTGGACTGTTTTGGCAGCCTCATTGTTTTGTGCACTATAAACCCAAGTTCAAGATACCGAGATTCAAGTTAGAACAAAACTCTAAGAGCAGTCAATTAGAAGTAAAGTTTAAAATACAACTTAGGTACATGAATCAGTGAAATGGATGCAAGAAAAAAAAAAAGCATTTATCATCCTTCAGTATTTTCATATTCAGCATATTTAGATACTGAATATGCAACACAAAAATCTCATGATTCCACCAGAATCTGAGCCAACACTTTTTGCTGCTGCCTTCAAGACAAGCAGAATGCAATTTCCTATGATTTGGGATGCAGGATTGGAGGTAGGCACAGGGGAGAATACTTTTAAATAAAGAACACCAGCAAGGGACAAAAAAGTGACAGCAACCCTCAGAAGACTGAATTAGTTAGCAGATTAAATTTAATTTCCCTCTTTTCTCATCTCATTTAATGCTTCTAACTATATTTTCTAAGATTTTAAGAACCTGCTGCAAGGCTTATTAAAATTTAGAGGAACAACCCTAAACTGATTTTCAAAGTAACAAGGTGGACTTCCCAGTACACGTGCAAAAGCGAACTGAGCATAAGCTACACTTAAAGCACCCGTGCAGCCCCTAAGGAAGTCCCCAGGGCTCAGCACTTAAAGCTGAGCACACTGGGACTTTACTGGAAGCACACAGTGGATGAACACTGCTGATATCTACGCTTTTTATTTACCTGAACTCAGTATGAACAAGTCATCTTCCTTCTTTTCTTTTTAATTTGCAGGAGACCAAGAAAAATACAAGTGGTTTCCTGTGCTGTGTTGACCTGCTGATGTGCAGAGCAGTCACACCCGGCTGTATCTTCCCGTTAATTGTGAAGGTTGAAATGCGCCCAGAACTCTGCAGGACACTCACGGCACATTCCCTGACACAAAATGTAAACCCAACACCACCACTGTGTAATTACCACCCCAGCCCACAGCCCTCCATGTGTGTAAGATTTCTGTGCACATCCCATCGTGATTTCACTACCTGTGAGAAATGAGCCTGGGCACCCAAGCAATCTACAGCACACAACACAACGGCCTCAGCACAACTCTCTCAACAATTTGAGATAACTCTCTCAACTTGGTTTTCCCTTTTGGTACAATCAAAACAAACTAAGTCAATGATTTCTGTTTAGAAAATTGTGTATTTCCCTGCTGTTACCAGAACCTGAATTGTGATTCCTCGTTACTTTCCATACTCACACAGCAAGTAAACTTGCCATTCTCAGGACATTATTCCAACAACGAGGACATGGGGTTTAGCTGTGCTTTTTAATAGCAATCCCTAACCAGTCTCTTTTTAAAAATCTAGTAATTCTGCTCTTATTTGTCTAACATCTGTCAGCACGCACACAAAATCCTAAGTGCCTGTCAGGGTACAAAAGACCAAACATCCTACAAGGCACATCTTGAAAGCCTTTGATCAGAAATAATGTTCTGTTAAGGAGAAACAGAATAATCTGGCAACATTTTCTATTACTACACATGTACTTCAAACATCAGTGTAAAGACTGGAAGTATTTCACATCTGTCAAAAAATTACTCAAATTACATATTTGGAGCATGCTGTAAAGATATGCTTAATCTTAACTAATACTTTTCAAAATAAGATTGAAAACAGTATGAATCACACCTATTTAATGTAAAATAAACAAGCAGTAACAGAACTATGCACTACGGTAAAACATTTTAATTTTTCATTACCATTTAAAAAGCAAAATAAATGAAATTATTCAGTAACAACTACATCAAGTACTAAACCCAGAAAGTCTAAGTATCTGCAATAAAACATACATAAAAACCAATGTTACAGCAGTGCTGTTTTCAAGTAACAGCTACATGAAAGCAAACTCCAGAGAAAGGCAAAACATTATAAAGGACTGAGCTCTCCTTGGATGTGCAACATCTCAGTGCCTGTGCACAGTGAGTATTTATTTACTGTTTCAAGTATTTTTAGCTTTATTAAGTAATAAGTGAAGGAAGAGAGAGGATAAATAAATTGACAACAGCAAACTGTCCTAGTTCAGTTCACTCACATCAATCTCAGTTTCTGAGAAATTCTGGCTAAGGCTGCCAGCTCCTGTTAGTTATTCCACAGGTTTTATGGTGATGGTGGAATGCCCCTGCCCACACACACTGTGGCAAAAGCCACAAAAAAAACTACTTGGTCACTTACAGGAATCACTGCAGTGAACTTGGGGACAAGACCTACAAATTAAGACCCAACAAACTTGAGAATTATGACTCTCAGCAACTGTATCTGCCTGCAACTAAAACATCAATCTCCCAGTTACTGATGGGGCAGCTTCTCCAAAATACAGAGCTGAAGGCATGAATCAAGCCTGCATTTCAGACATCCTCACAATGCACCACATCCTGGGTACGTAACAGAATATATCTCCACTTTCCTCCTCCCCCAGGACAGTGACCATGGAGCTGGCTGATGATGGTATCTGGGGGTGACCCACCCTAAAAAGCTCCCAAACCTTGGTTAAAAAATACAACTGAGCTTGCATTTCAGACTACAAACTTTATTGTGCATGGGTGTGACTTTAAAAAAAAAAAAGGCAGAAAATTCCTGCTGGCAGGACTGGAAAAACAATCTGTTTCAACAATTGCACTAGGAGCAGAATGATTAACTCCCTGAGCCATTCCAGTAATACAGATCATGCCAAGACTTACTAAAACACTTTCCACAGAAGGAGCCGTACTGGAGATTTTTAGGGCAATACTGAGGATAAATAACACCAGACTCGAACAGGTTGGCAAAAGAGGGCTGTGCTGCACATGAAGTGCACCAGTGGCCCTTATCCTTACTCCTTTACCCATGTATTCAATAGAAAGCATGCAACCATTGCCTTTCCATCTTCAATCAAGTTATCAGAACTAGCATCTTGGCTGTGACTTTGATAGAAGTTCAACAGCCACATAATTTAAAATGTAATTCCCTCAAGGAAAATAAGTCTTGATGTGCCCATGCCATATGTATTTGAACTATGAAGGAAAAAAGAAAAAAATATTTTTTTCCTTCTCACCCCCAAATGTTACTCATACAGCAAGTTATTTTACTCCAGCAGGTTTGGGGGTTTTTGTTTATTTGCTTTAAACCACTGCCTGAGCTGGAAACATGCTTTGGAAGAAAACACCACTTTTTAGCTTTGTCATTGCAACTGCTTTCAGAGTATTAATTTCACATTATGTTTTAAAGACACTGCCAAGAATGTATTACAACAAAATTTCTGAAGGTAGCCTGTGCTAATAGCTACACTCCCTGTGCTTTTCTCGTATTTTAGATGTTATACAGGATGCTGTCTCTGAGAAAGAAACCAAATAATCCAATTGGAACCAACATCAAAGGCCTCCTTTATTCTGATCCCGAATACCAAAAGCAATTTCTCCAACAGCACACCTGTACTTTGACCCAAGAACGTTAAACTACTACCTGGGACACTCCTTACTCTCCTTATCAAAAAGTCTGAAGATAAGCAAGTGTGGGGCCTTGGATAACCAAATTATTTTCACAAGGTTTTTTTTTTTTTTTTTTTTTTGAGGTCAGTAGAACACACTCAGATGACACTAAAAATAACAGTATGGAAATATTTTATGTATTGAATACTGACCTCTCCAATTTCTCTGTAACTCCTTAACTTTTTTTTTTTTTGGGAAAGCACCAAATGTGATGCACTGTCCTCTTGGCGGAACATCATGATGCTGTGTGCCAGCAATCCTTACAGTGAAACAACAAAAAATACTGTGACTTGTTTAGGGATGGGAAGAAGGGAGGAAAGCTGGAAGCTTTAAGACAGACAGCTAAAAACTTAAAAACCAAATTCACATATACACACACACACATACGTAGTCCAGACTGCTAAGATGAGCATGATTATGAACAGGTCAATTTGACACAGTATTATGGATTCCAGTAAATGAGGATAATAAAATCCCTTGAGTTACACTTCATTATGTTCTTCTGAAAACCAAAGCAACTCTGACCAACACTGAACCTTTGCAAAGGGCTCCTTAAAGGTTTTTTCTCTCTCCCTTTCTGGTTCCTCCCACAGCCCCTGACCTCTGCTGTTCTCTGTCAATATTAAGAAAATGGCTGCTGATGATTACAAACTCGAGAACAGTGTTACTGTAAAACTGACAAAATGTGGAGTATAATGAAATCTAAATCCTGCATCTCCCATTCAGAGTCCTCTGCAGCTTAAATAATCAAGCTTAAATAGATCGCTTTTTCTGAAAAGATAGTAATTTTGAAGGTAAGCAAACAGGATGTATAAAAAATGACAAGCTCACTGAGAACCAGCCAGTAAC